TGGTCCTGAGACACAGACGGTTTACAGACACTGTAACTGTACATTACCTTAACTGTTTGATGATACTTTAAATAAGACTGAAAAATAAGAATAATGTGTAACTGATAAGCATATTGACTCACATTCTGAATTTGCTGATGAAAGCATTTTTGGGTATCTTGACCTCGAAATGGACTTCATTGGACTCACGGAGTTGGTTTGCCACACGGCTCGTGATGACTGTGATTGCATAGCGGCTGGTTACTGTGGAGTTTATATGGAAGCTGTAGATGTCAATGTCTCGCTCCTGCAGTGGGGAAAACAGTAAATGGTAAACGATAAGGGTGATATCTGTTGTCAACTACTGGGTAACTAAAATTCCTTGTTTATACAAAACATAAGTGGCCAATAAAGGCTGATTGTGATGTAGGCAAATTTGTATGTCTACATTACTGATTATTCTCATCCAGTAAAAAAAAAAAATATTTCATACTAAGAGAGAGCTCAGAAAACACCAAAACACCATGTTCAGCTGATTTAGTATCTCACACTTCACCATTTTTACATTTTAACGATCTCTGTTCTAAAACACTACAATATTAAACTAATATAGCAGTGTTCACAGCTTGCATCAGGTGAGCACTCTGGCTTCCGTCCATTGCTTGCCTCCCCCAGGAACATTGAGTGACAACTCAAACAAATCTGTCAGAGTGGACCTTCACCTCTGAGTTGGTCAGCTGTTTGGTTGACTTTGTATATTTGTATATTGTCTAATTCCATTGAATTCTAGTCTCGTCTCATAGTGTTTTTACGGTTTGTACGGTAGTGTAGAATTATAGTAATGAATTGATTTATGAATGCAGTGTTGGTACAGATGGAGAACCAAACAGACGTTTTTAGCAATGCAGTAGAAACTGAGAAAGAGACTAGACAACCCAGAGGAAAACCTTATTGCTCAAAATGTTACTCTTTTATGGCTCAGGACACTTAACCCTCTATTGCATGAATTGTTACTTGCACATGATAATGTTTTAATGTGTTTTTGTTATTTTAATTTCCTTACATAATGGAAATATTAGATTTTTTTTTAAGTGGGGTTTTTGGTTGGTTTTGGCCATATGACAACAATGCGCAATCATACCAAAGCACCATAAAATCAAAAATTTCTCTAAAAATGTCCTTTTATTGAAAACAACACCAAGCAAATCCAGCTTATACTTTGTGAAATGTACTACCCAATATCTACTTTCTAAATACTGGTAATTAATACGATTTCAGTTGGTATTTGGCATGTATGGTAATAACAACATCATAATAAGAATTCCTGGTCATGTCATATCATAAAGTATTTGTCCTTTCAAAGTGAAAGACCCTTTTTCCACAATGAAATGGGAAAACACAGATTTTATATTAGTGCTTCTTAGTAAAATTGAGATAAAGTAATTGGTGCCATATGGCAACACCATGAAGTTTAATGGTAATTCTCCTAAAATTCTTTAGGAGAAATAGGAGACATGAGATACTTCTCACCCAAATAAACACTGTGCTAGTTTTCCACAGCCTTAAAACTGAGAAGGCTCTTAGTTTTCTATGAAAAATGGTTGAGTTCCCGTCTTTAATTCAGTAGCAGATAAAGATGAGCATCATTCTCTTGGCAAATCTGATTTTATTTAGATCTATACTACAACTTAAGAGGAGACATGTGAGATTACTGGGCTCTTTTGATCACTAGAAATATCAGAGCAGCAGGAGAGACTTAAGAAAAGGTCTCTTGTCTTTCCGTTTGATCTTGTTGTCTTTAAGAAACTACAGAGATACTGGGATACTGAGGTTGTCTTTCCTGTGGGAAGAGCTGATTTTCTATTCTAACAAAAGTTCAAATATTTCATATTGAAAAGATAATTAAGGTTAGTCCACACATAACAGCTACTTATACAGAGATAGATGTAAATGTAAATTTTTGAAAGAATGTTTTTAACATTGATTTTAGTACCAGCTGCATTAATTATTTCAAATTTCATTGGACTTTACACTCGTCATGCATGCAGAGTCGGAAACAGCCTTTGTGTTGTCCTGAATACCACCACTTTTAGAATCTGCAAGTCATAAATAATTCATGTAAAACTACAGCATACTTTGCTTATCACTGTGACTTCTAAGGGTTAAATCTAATAAACAAACAGCTGATGCATTGAATGACCTCTGACCTTACCTTACTTGTTGGGGTGGAGGTGACACAGATAAGTAAGAATCCAAAGAGAGTTACTATGATTGTGGTTCGATCCATGGTGACTCCAGTAGCACTGAGGTCTTACAAATGCGCACATTTAACCCGTGAAAAGTCCAGGGACCACCAGTGGGCCCAAAGTTTTATTACACACTTCTATAATCTGAGAATCGCTCAGCCAGTTTGGACTGGAGTCCCTGTAGTTACTGAATAATAAGCTTTAGTATGTAATAAGCCTGACTCTGCAGGCATAGTCTTTGCCATTGGTCATTTGTGTATTTGTGCAGAGAGACCACCCCCTCTGTCACTGACCTCTTACAGTAACTCCATGAAGAGCTGGAGGACTGACAAAATGCTGTTTGCTTGTGACTAACAGCTCACTAAGTCACTAAGGTCAAGCGCCGTATGACAGTGACAGTGAAATTTTCAAAATATCTGTGTAATTTAATCTGTTTAAATGTAAACAGTCAGCCATTCAGAGTGGTTTGGTGTAAAATGGTTGATTGAGAGTCTGATTTCTTTACAGTGGTGGTGATAGGAACCAGGGGTCTCCATGACTAAAACACATTTTATTTACTATCCAAAACCACCAGTGAACCTGCACGTGTCTTCTGAGTTTTATATGTTTATATGTTGATTCTGATTAGGCCTTGTTAAAAAATTGAAAAAAAGAAATTTCTTTGCGGACTGTTTTGCCTCACAGTGCCCTGCGTGTACCCCTCCGCCACGAATGTATTTTTAAAAAAACTACAGTGAGGAGCAAAAGTCTGAGGCCACACTGTAAATTAGGGATCTTTTTTTTTGTTTAAATTTGGAATTAAGTAACAAGAAGTTTTAGAAGTTTGACACATTTAAAACAGAAGTCATAAAGTAAAACGAAGAAATACTCAATATTGATCATTTGCATTTTTTTCAATTTTATTTCTTTGTTTGCACTATAACAGTATAATTAAACAGGAATTTTGAAAAAATCTGTGAAATTCCCCTTTAATATGCGAGTTGCTCGTTCAGAGGTTCTGTGAAGTAAAAAAAATATCTTTTGGAAAGAAGAATGCCTCGGATTCTCCCTTTGTTTATTTCTTTTTTCCTAGATTTTAGTACTCCAGACGTTTTGTTGGACAAAATTCTTCCAATATTAAAGAACTTACTCTTTCATACTTACTTTTTCTACTTAAACAGTCAATTTGAGCAATCCAAAAGAGAGGACATCAGAAACTGCATATTTACTGAGATGAGCACTCTGTCCATTCCTCATGTTTGCTTGTCTCCACCAAAAACATACAGAAAAAAATCCATCAGTGTGGACCTTCACCTTAGAATAGGTCAAATACTATGTTGTCCGTCAATCGAATGATGCACCTCCTTTCAAAAACATGTTCAATCATATGGAAATATTATGTAAAATTACATATATCCTACATTTTTCTATTACATTTTTTCCCAAGGCCCTTAAAAACAGTCAGAATTTATTTCTGTGTGATTATTTTCCATCCTCTCTTTATCCCTTTTTGGTTCTGTGCCATTAAGACTGATATGGTATTTCACCACATCCAAAAAGCACCAAGAGCTGAAAATACTGCTTAGAACTTGATCGTGAGTGGGTGGATGGTGGTTGATTTTTGTGACATCACAGAAACTGTGAATTCTAAAACAGGCTGTTTTTCCAGCTTAGTTTCCATATATGTATGGAATGTATGTGCTAGCGAGTGAACGTTATGTTTTGAAACTTGATCAGTGTTTTCATACAACTTCAAACTCATTTCAAAGAAGTGCTGAAAATTCAGTATTTTGTGTTATGGGCCTTTTAAAAGTGTTAAAGCAATACAAATTTCGACCCCACTACAAATTGGATAAAAAGAGAATATAAACAGAAATATTAAACTACAGAGAATGGAGAAGTTCATTACATCATGACCCTGTGGTGGAACTGGTACTGAATGTGTCTTCCTTTTATTTATAGACAGTGATGGACATGCTGTATAGATGTGAGCCACTTAGGGACACTGGTCATTTAACAAAATGCAAAAGATGCATTCAGTGTACAAAAATGCTGCTGTTATCTTTTCACTTAATCAAGTTAGAATAAAACTTGTCTTTAGAACAGCGGTCATCAGCCTTATCCACGAACAGGTAGTGTGGCTGCAGGTAAACTAGTGCAGCCACACCAGCCCTTGTAGATAAGATTGGGGACCCTTGCTTTAGAATACAGATCCTTGAAGGATGTCTGTGTAGTTTGTTTTTGCTATATTGTCTAGGCTGAACTTGGTTCCCACATTAAACTGAATAGTTTCATATATATCACTGTTGTTGGAAGAAAACCTTAAAAATAAATATTGTGACATATCGTGAAAATTTTCTTGAAGTATTGTGATAGTATATATTTGCCAACTCTAGTACTGAGTAAATTGTAGAACTGCAGTAGAGCTTCATAGTGAATCCAGCATCCATCAGCATAGGAACTGAAGTTTGTCATTCTTCTCTTTTTGGATCTTTTCAATCTAAAATAAAATGCTAACGTTTTAAAGTCAGAGGTGGGACCACCTACAGAGCAGTACAGAGGCTGTCAGCAACATGATAAAATGAAATTAAACGTAAAAATAAACAGTAAAAAGTGGATTACTACTTGACTGAATAGAAACGATTTACTTGGAGAAGTGCAAATCTATGAGTTTTACTTGTGTACATGTAACTGAGTAAACAGGCAGACCACCTCTGACTCTCGCAATGAGAAATGTAGGGATAAAATGAAGAAATGTGTTGCTTGGTGTTGATTTTCTTGGACTAAAAACCCACATGAGATTGAGCCTTTTTTATTGTTCAGCAAGGTTTTTACACTTGTGCCACCTTCGTTCATGCTGGTATAGCTTGAGTTTTTTTCCAGAAGATCTTCTGAAATCTTCAGTTCTCTAACTTACTAAGAAAAACTTACATAGCTGTTACATTACTGATCACAGACGGAGCACCCAGAGCATTTAGACCCACAGTGTTACTTAAGGCCAGCATTACAAGCGTTTTATTTTCTTCTACATTTTCTACCAAACTGTTTGGAAGACAGTTGTGAAATTTTCAAGATACATATTTAGTTGAGAGCTTTACAGTCGAGACACAGTGAAGTCAGAGAGCTCCCCCTGCAGGACAAACCGCAAGGGTACAAGCCAGCAGTCCACTCTTGGGGCTGAAGCGTGTCCGTGGTCAGTGGCAGTGCTCCTGCAAATAATAAGACATGCATTTAAGATTTAAAAACGTTGGTTAAAAAAAAACAGTGTTGCGTTTGTTTACTGTACGTACGCTTCTGCTAGGACCTCCTGGTCCTTGATTTTGATCCATGATTGTGGTAACAGTTCATACTGAACATCAGTTTTCCCTTAAGCAGAAAATAAAGATGAGGGCATTATTTACACTATTAGAACAACAACACAAATGAGTACAGTGGACAGTCTGATGTTTTTGTTGGTTTTTTTATAGTGTCCTTTTAAAGCAGAGGCATCAAACTTGAGCTCTGTTTAGTTGTATTACAGGTACAGCTTGAAGCTCCTGTACGTATCTTACTGAAGAGCACTGCTGATACACCTTAAAGATGAGGTAAATTTTTTTCTTGAAGAAGCAAATAGGCAGTAGAACCTGTAGCCATCTTTTTATAATTCAGAACTTCTTAAAATTTATTTTACACCCCAGTTGTTGTCTTTGGAAGATATAATTTGATAATGATTTGAAACAAGTTGCGAAATCCTGTCAGACGTTGATTTTAAACTTTCGGTTCAGACCACATTTGTTTGTAGGAAAAACAAAACCTTTTTGTATTTTGTCATGTTTTAGAATCGAAACTATAGTGAAAAAGGTCAGAAGAGCTACTTGAACAGTTTAATAAAAAAATTAAATCAAATGTGAGTGTAATTCATTGAGTACATGAGTATGTAATTACTTGCACAATTACATTATTACATTTTAATAGTATTACAAAAATACGGAATTAACCTTCCAACTTTCATGAGCAATCACTAATGAACAGCAGCTGCTTTAAAGTCAGTTTGAAATCATTTTTTTTTTTACCTTTTTGGATTACGTCCCTGATCATATTAAGCATGATTCATATCATTTATCAGACAAAATTCTTGTTTTCCTGTAATCTGCTATTGAGATTTAATGACTTTTGCCTCTAAAATGTGTGGAAAAATAATGTCGTGTTTCAACTCCTCCATCTATCATGGGGAGAAATTTTCAGCTAGCTCAGAGACCCCCCACGACATAGTGAGTGTGTCTACATGCACTTAATAATCCAATAACTGCAGAAAATCAGATTTTGTCAGTGATCTGATCAATCCGTTTACATGCAGTAGAGTAATCAGATAATGGGGAAACTCCGGGTTTATATGAGTCAGACAGTAATCGGATTTCTGCTTTGCAACCAGCCAATAAACTCACAGAAGATGTGATGTAAACGTAATGTAAAACTCAAACTTCGTGCTGCAGCTTTTTTTAAACATTGCGCCACTTTACCTGAAAATATGAACATACATCATCTAGAAGATGAAGAATATTTAAATCCTTCTTTTCTTCAAGAATGTATTTGGTTTAAAAAGTGTCAAAGTGTTTTGCTGCGTCTCGCGGCAACACTGCTCGCTTATTTCCGGTAATGCCGTCTGTTTTCACACATGCTCAGGCTGAGAAATCCGAAAGAAATCTGAGTAAGGTTCACATGCACTGAGAAATCTGATTACTGACATAAAATCCAGCCTCCTTATCGGATGTCTTAATCAGATTTCTAGACCATACTCCGATCTAAGAAATCAGAGTGTGTCGTTTACATGACCATTTGAATAATCAGATAACTGCAGAAATCTGATTATGATTGGATTACTAAATGCATGTAAACACACTGTGTTTCACTTACTAATACAATACGAAAGGAAAACTTGTGGTGATTTCAGATTCATGCTGACTTTAAACAGCACATGTTGTACTGAAACTAGCAAGGGTACTTTCTCTAGGTAGACAAAGCACATTTTGTAAGTCACTCTGGATGAGAGTGTCTGCTAAATGCTGTAAATGTAATGTAAATCCTCCATAAATCAAACATATTTTTTTTTACTGCTTATAAAGAAAAATGGCACAAATATGACCTCTTACAGGCTTCCACAGGGTATAGAACAAGACAGAAAAATTCATTTTAGAAACTCAAATGTAGATCCAGTTTCTACATTTTGTAGATGATTATGTATTGGCATGAACAGATATACCTAGAATTCCCATTTCAGTGCATCCCCAATTATTGGTCCGCTATTGAAATTATGGCCAATGATTATAGCCAATAATTCTGCGTCCTAATTATCTATTCTACTTAGCTCCCGGACGAACTGAAGCATGTGTTGTAGTCACCACTGACAGGAATTTCACTTCTTCCAGAACCCACAGTGGCGTCTGCTGACTGCTCAGTTTCCCTGTAACAGCTGCCAAAGGCACGTAATGTAACTTACTGACGTGAATTGTGACAGAAAACCGAAGTGTGTCATAAACCATCGTTAGTTAGATTTTTTTAATCAACGTATTTTCGTTTTTGATTTTCCAAAAGTTGTGATATGCATTTTTGTACAACAATTAGTTCCGGCCTCGCAAGCTGATTGGTTTTATTTCGCCATAACATCACGTTTTTTTCACTGTATCACTCCGCTGAGACGCCGTTGCTAAGCAAGGACTTTGACAGCTGTAGGAGACGCTCAAGCCATTTGAACGTTTTTACTTCTTACTTTGTGCACAAACAGAAAATGGACACTTTTAAGATCACATTTGACCGACACCCAATTTGATCAGACTCTGAAGATGAGACGACACTAAATTCCCAAACTGTCATCACCACTGAGCAGCTTTTCAGTCGGCAGCTGTGACAGAAGAACAGCTAAACAACCTGGAATCAGCCAGAAATTAACCCAACACCATTCGCCAAACTAAATGGGTTGTAAGATGCTTTACAGACTGGCTGGAACAAAACAACATTAATATTGATCTGGCAAAAATTGACAAAACTGAGCTAAACTTGATATTTTGCAGCAGTTTTATGGCTCAGTCTGTTCTTCAAAAGGCAAGGCTTACAGCAGACTGTGCAGTGAGTGGGTGGAGCTCGTTACTCTGATGTAGCAAAAAGCTGCTTGTTAAGGAACTATAATTTGGTGGAAGGAAATGCTAAAATTAAAGCATATTAAACGCCGCGTTCACGGCCCAGTTTATTTATTTTCTTATTTATTTATTACTTAATTTATTTAACTGTTGTATAAAAGCAATAGAACACTCAAGGTCGTGTGTTATCGCGAATAACATCACGGCTGTGATGATCTACGGTGACCAAATCACAGCCGTGATGTTATTTTGCGATAACACACTCCCTCTTGTGTTCTATTGCTTAAATACACTCCTTCTTGATACATGAAAAAAGGCTGAGACATTCAATACTGATCAGATTACAGTGATTCCATTTACATGCACTTGATAATCCGATCATTATCAGGTTTCTCCTGTTATCTGATTATTCAAGCGATCATGTAAAAGACATACTCCGATTTTTAGATTAGATTAAGGCCTAGAAATCCGATGAAGAGGGCTGGATTTTAGCTCAGTAATCAGGTTTTTCAGTGCTTGTATACTCTCTCTCTGATTTCTTATACCTGTCTCAGTCTGTGCATGTGCAAAATGAGTTTACTGGCTGGATGGAAAGCTGAAATCCGTTTGCTGCCTGCCTCATGTAGACCTGGAGTTTTTCCAAGTGCATTTAATCACGCTGAATGAAATATTGACAAAATCTGATTTTCTGCAGTTATCAGCTTTTTAAGTACAAATCAAAGCACAAGTGGGTTATTTCAGATACAACGTCAGATAAGTGACAGGATTTCCGTTGACCCGTAATATAGATTTCTAAAGTTGGAATTTCTTACCCAGAATGCCTTGCAAGGTAATGCCTTGTGGTAGTTGACGAACAGCAGGCCACAGAAACACGTCTCCATCTTTCTTATGAAGAAGGAAAACAACACGCACGGTTCCCATGGTGACGTTCAATTCATCATTCTTTAGAATCAAAGACACACTGTGGGGACAGAACCTTCGGTTATTACACATATCCAGAAAATTACGGGCTGTAAAAACATTTCATTGATAACAACTTAGATCAAAAAAAAAAAAAACAATAATTTACTTGGATTAATATATTAAAATCTTAATTATGGCAGTAATTTGTCTTTCTTCTAAGCAAAATAGTTCGTTAACAGATAATAACTAAAATTAATCCATGAACAGCAAAATCATTTTAAATAATTTGGCGATTGAATACAGAATGCAACTGATGAAAATGGTCACATGCAATCATTTGCAAAAGTTTGGGCTCCCCAGTCAAATGACATGCTGCTGTTAATGTTCTGAATGGTAATGGTGTTAATGAATTAACACATCCTCTACAGAGAGGATCCTCTGCACATTTTAATGCACAATTACTGAATTAATTTAGCATGTAAATGTGGCCTGTGCAAAAGTAGAGGATGTGTTAACTTATTTTCACTTAGGAAATCAACAAAACATATGATTTGACTGGGGCACCAAAACTTTTGCATGTGACTGTATGTGATTATTGAGGAACTTACAGCGGCTTTGAATGTGGCTCAACCAGCCCATGTCAAATGGTTGCACATGAATAAAATGTTTTACATCAACACAATTTTTGCCAAAACAAGCAAACTATATAACATATTTTATTCACGTGCGAGCATTTAACACATTTTAATCAGGAACCGTACTTTTCTTTGAAGAGTTTCTATAAGTGCAGAGTTGGTGGGATCCTTGTGCCATTCTTAGTAGCACCACCCTTCTGCTTTTGTTGTTCTGCCTTTAAGGCTGAGCTGTGAAAATTAGCTCTGTTCTGATTGGCTGCTATGTATTATACCTCAATCAAAAATCCGAGTTGAAACACTCCTTATAACTTCAGTATGAGTGGGCGGAGCTACACTGCTTTAGTACAGTTTCAGTAATACTCTTTCAAAATAACACAAATAGTAACAGTACAATTTCTCAGGTGTTTGCCACCTGTGGAAAAATTCACTGTTCTTCAGTGCTGTAGAACTCTTACCTGTCTGTCTCGTGCTTGGTGGGCTCCTGCCCCCAAACAAACTTCACAGGAGTCTGACCGTCAGAGTAGCGGATCCCACTGGTGCTGATGGTCAGGTGATGATTTGTTTTATAATGAAGAACAATTTTCTTGAAGCCTTTGCCTCCATACAGTTTGAGCTCACCATTCATAGAGAATTCTGTTAAGTGAGGAAAATATCATACTCCAGCTTGAAGGACATTCTGCTGATAACATTAGCAGTAGCACTGTAAGGATAATTATTATAATATGTCAGCAATTTGCACTTTTGTTTAGCTTGTATTCCTGCTCAGAATTAGCAGTGATATTGACACAGAGAGAGGTCATTTATGTGGACAAAGTTTCAGTATTTCTGATTTTATTCCATTCAGAAGTGAATTTTTCAAAATGTGAAGAATTTGAGAAAGGTTTTAATTGGTCAACCCATATTTTTAATGTTTTTAATAGACATTTCCTGTATCTGATTTCTGATTAACTGGTTAATATCATCGGCTTTCAGTTTCGTGAAGGTGAACACAAATTATACAGTAATACTTTGGGTGAAGGGCTATAACAAGACTAGCAAGATAAGCCTACCAGCTACCTTTTGCTGGTAACAATTAGTATATCGCTGCTATCTGAACATTTTTGTCTCCATTTTTGTTTTTGACATAATTTGAAAACACCTGTTGTCCTTTACATTGTATGTAAATTTCATGGTGAATGGATCAAAAGATACAATGCAAAATTACATGGAATAAATTCTGGTTCCACTGCCTTACATTGAAGGTAAAGTAGGTTTTTTTCCTTCTCCTGTAAAGTTACCATTTTTGAGATACCATTTTGTTCTGACAGCAGCGATATATTCAAGCAACACACTAATGAGTTCATGGGACTTTTTATTTAGATACTTATGTTTCCTTTTTACAGTTAATGAATATCTAATGAGGAAGTCATGCATGAGGCTTTGTCAGCAGTTTAAAACCAGGTAAAACTATGAGGATGATCGAAAGTCTCTTTCTAATACAGCTGAGGAAGCATATTTTAGTGTTTAGTATGAAAAATTAAATCAGCATATGTAATTTCAAAGGACCCCCACCTTCCTAGGCATAGGCAGGTTATTGTTGTAACTGCGACTGATGTATGTAAACGATCTTAATGAGAAATCAGTGAGAGCTGGAACATTGCTTATAACTTTAGGTTATCGTGAATTAGCCTTGGGGCGAACCATATTATTGAATATCATAATAATTTCAACCAGTGACGATATTAAGTAAACTATAATTTTATTTTTTGTCATGTACCCTTGCCATGTGACTTTTTTCTGTCGTTCTTTGTATTTAACCATTGACTTTGTACAAGAATGTAGCGTTTCAGTCTGGTAAAGAATGCTGGGTATATGCAAATGAAACACTCCGCTATATGTGACCTTCTCCCTAGACGGTGAAAAATGGATGAGCTTGTACAGAAGAAGGGTGTTACCGTGCCCGTTGGTTTCCAACCAGACGAACTCGGAGAACCGTTAGATGTTAGCAGTGTTACATGCCGTCTATGCAGAAAACTGATCATCACCAAAGGCTGCAATACAGACCTTGAATCCACAGTACGAGCTGCCAAGCCCTAAGTACTTTAGCAAGACAGTGGTGCCTGAGATGTATAATAATGTTAATTGTGTATGAAACAGTCTAGGTTGTTAAAGACTATAATCATAATAATAAAAATTATTATTATTATTTCTTCTAACATAACTTTGTTTTTTCCTGAATTAAGATTCACTGCTATAATTCTCCTTTGCTGTTCTACTGAAATGCAGCAGTTCACTTACATAGGCTCCAATAAAATGATCATGTGACTGAAAGGCCCACTTACTTGGGTTTTCTTCGTAAATTATTTTTTAACACGATAATATTGTTTATCACGATAATTCTAGTTTGTCTAAATTTACATTATCGCCCAAGCCTGTCGTGAATGGGCGAGGCTAAACTGCTGTAGTACAAGTATTCAGCTTCAGTAATACTTAAGGCAGTGTCAGTGGTTTTAAAATGGTTTAAAATGTAAGGATGTTTGAAATTGTACTACACATGCCTTTGTGATATAGCTGGGGAAGAATATTGTGTTCAAATGAAGTAAAAAAATGGGTAAAAAAAAGGACCACTTTTTTATAATAGTAGTATTTGTGTGCGCTGTTTACCCCAAACCCCTCCCAGCCTTTTGCCCTACTTTTTTTGGATGGGCATGAAGTATTAATCAGGTGGGACAGCATCCATCAGGCCATGCTAAAGTGGCTGACAGTTAGTGACTTAAGTCTAATTTGACTTCCTTTAAATTAAAAAATCGTATTATTAAGTTAAAGTTCTTAAATACAGACCCACAAAAAGCTAAAAGACGACTGAACCCTGTTGGTGTGTGGAGCTGATGTTAGGAGATGCCTCACCTGAGGAGGGGTCCATCAGAAGGCGGAGTTTGGAAGCCAAAGGTACATCATAACAGAGTGGCTTAGGCTGACGACTAGAAGTGACCAAAAACCTCACATGACTCTCTGAGGGAGGGAAAGCATGAGAGAGAAAGATCACAGAGAAAAGGAGGTTAAAGGAATCAACACTGAAACAACAATGACCTTTAGCCCAGGAATTTCAACACCAAAAACACCAAGTTTTCGTTACACACACTCATAGTTTTGAGTTTTCCATATAAAAACTTGTGTAGGTTCACTGGTGGTTTTGGATAGTAGATAAAATGGCTATATTTATATCAGGACCCCTGGTCTGTAAGTTACTCTACAGTGAACCATTTCACACCAAACCACTCTAAAGGTTTTTGTGCAGTTCATTTTAATAATTCTTTACACTGTACTGCCACAGATGACTATTTCCATGCCATCTGGAGCAGCGCACAGGTTTTTAAACTCACAAGGACTGAACTGAAAACCCCCTCACACACATACTCTACACACTCACACACACCTCTTTTGACGCTCTACTTGCACTATCTGGAACATTGCTAACATTGTGTTTACTCAAGTAGTACCTCAGTAACTGCTGTGCTCATGTGCGTTTACTCACAAATCACAGCATGTTAAATATCTTTGCACCTTATTCTTACCACCTCATGTTTAGAAACGAGTGCTGTGTCGGCGCTGCACTGTCCTGTCTGTTTACTGTGTCTAATGTCTGGGTTTTAACCGCCAGATCTGCTACGTCGGCTAACACATGCCTGCGCTGACTTGCATCGCGTTGAGTGATGAGGGGAGAAGGGGGGCCATCCTACCCACCCAGAGAGAGCGAGGCCAATTTTGTTCTCTTGGACTCCCGGACTGGATGGCTGTAGCATCACCAGAGATCGAACTCGCGATCTACTGATGATAGGGCCAACGCTTAGACGGTTGCGCCACTCAGGAGTTAATGTCTGTTTTAATTTTCATATTTATTGTAATGTTTCTAGTTTAATATTTTGCACAGTTACGCCCGCACGTTTGCACTACTATTTTGTTCCGTGTTGCACCATGTTGTTCCTGGAGGAACGTAATTTCGCTCCACTGTGTACTTGTACATAGTTGGAATGACAAAAAAAAGCCTCTTGACTTGACTCTTGAAATTGTTTACATCTCAAGCACTGAATTATTTAGAAATTGCTAAACAAACCAAGCCAAACACACTGTAAAAACAAATCTGAGATTTTAACTAAAAATGTTGGTTACTGGCCTGTCTTAGAATGTTATTTGAACTTTAAATAACAAGATGGAAGAGCATAACACAGATTCTTGTTTTGTTAACTTACTGTTCTAAGTTCAGTTAACTCGAAATGTTGAGGTAGAACCGTAACTGAAGTTAAAACCCCAGTTGTTTTATAATGTAAAATAATATTCAGAAGGAGTGTCCAACAATTGGTTAATACTAATATCTAAACATGAACCTTATTAATTTGTGACATTTAAAGAGACATTCAAATGGTGCGCTACTCCAGATGGCATAAAAATAGTCATCTGTGGCAGTACAGTGTGAAGAATTATTAAAATGAACTGCACAATTTCACAATTTTAGATGTTGTGCCAGAACACAAGCTGGATGAGGTGTGTGAGTGCTGGGAAGTCTTGAAACTGAAGAACTGTGTGTAAGAAACACCTGGTGGAGTAAATAATCATAAAATGCACATTTTGGAAGCTGGTCATTGTACCTGGAGGTGAAGGGAGATCGGTCATCTGAAATGTTACGGCAGTTGGCGCTGGCCCAGCGTCTATGCCTGTTATAAAGCAATCAATCCAGAATCATAGAGTTAGACTCATATTGTGAGGAGGAGCCTAAACATTCACTACATGCAGAAAAAACTTGCATACTAAAATCATTTGTTGCACAAAGCTGTGGTTTAATGGAAAAGAGTGAGAAACCAGTTGTTGCTGTTGAAAGAAACCCCTGTTGTTCTTTTGACAATTTTATTCATATAAATTAAAAGTTGTGAATTTCACATTTTAATTTTAAATTTTACCAAAAAAAAAAACATAAAAAATGGAAATTTAAAAAAGTACAATTGTGTGAAAACAGCTAATTTTTGTTTCAGATACAATGTCAAGTAAACTGACAAATTAATTAATGTATTAATCACATTAGTATTAGGCACACAGCAAGAAGCACCTATCCTGTTATATAAGCATTTCTCTAGATCTTACAAATGTGTGTAGTAGCCTATATGTAAACTGAATTGTTCCAGAAAAGTTTTCTTCCACAGAATGCAGTAGCATGTAGTACTAATCAAAATTGTCTGGGATTCATTTTTAAAAAATGTACTTCAAAATTACATTAGCTTAGTTGTTGCCTTTGAGTGACTTTAGCCATATTCTAGACGTCTAGCCCTTTACCCCTTTCTCCGTTTCAAAAATACGTATGTATATTATATGTATGAACCTACTTGCAGCAAGGTTGGCTAATGCCAGTTAATAGCAATAACATTGCTGCGAAAACTGTCATTAAACATAACTAAAATGAATGAGGCCATTAAAGGTCAGAGTGAATATAATTCCAGTAAGAGAAAGAGGTACAACCTGGGGGACCAGCTAATGCTGTGGAGAAGAAAGATGATGTTCAACATTGGCCTTTGATTCAATTTTGTATTTTAAAATAGGCTGTCAAAAATTGGCAACTCTCAGCTAGATTCTTAGATATGCAGCTGAAGTGAGACCTTTTACTGTAATTCTGAAAACAGCTAGTTAAGCCGGCTAATGCAGCTGCTGCATTGACACGGAATTTAAACAATTTTCATCAAAGCTCCTTGAACCAGAAAGCGTTAAAAGTCACTGTGAAAATAATGTCAAATAAAATATAGTGGGGTGCTTATGACTATGGCCACATGTACCTGTTAACAAAGCAGCTCCTGCAGAGAGAGAAGATTTGCAGCATTAAACCTTGATTCAATTTAGAATGTTAAATATGCAGTGATGAAGTAGTCAAAACAAATTAAAGGGTTTAATATGTTAAATGCTGAGCATGTCGTCTTTTACACGAGGCCTTTTTATCAAAACAGTGCATGCATACAAGTGCATTAACAGAAGGTTTTAATTACAAATGTAAATGCTGAACAGTCCTGTTTTAATCAATGTTATTAAGCTGTCAGCAATGTCCATGTAAAAAGCTAAGAAAAGCTAACTGATCTTAATTTTGTTCTGAAAGATTATTTATTGATAGACCTTATAAAATGATTGTTAGCAAATACAGTACACTAGATAAAGCTGAGCTTACTTTAGAGCCTCTTAATAGTTTTGATGTTGAGTTGTGAACATCATCTTCTGTAGATTTTAATGAAAAACCTTTTTAGCTTTAGAACAGCAGATGATGGGGGTAGATAATTGTGAGAAAACAGCTAATTTTTGTTTCAGATACAATGTCAAGTAAAATGACAATTGAATGTGTTAATCATTTTAGTATTGTCTGTACTTGTAGTTCAGACACTGGTCTTCCCCTAGGCAGTCAAAGATGTAAATGGATAGTATAAACCAAGTAATATACTTGATCAAGTAACCAATTAATTGACCAAGTAATATTCAATATAATACACTGGATGAATTACATTTATAATGCAAAATATTTAAATTGTGCTTATTTTAAGCTGCCTTTACTAAAGAAATATACAGTCACAGGCAAAAGTTTGGGTGCCCCCATCAAATTGCATGTTTAGCTGATTTTCTTAGTGACACACCCTCTACAGAGAACATACTTTACTGCACAGTTACTGTTTACATCATGAGAATGAAGTACATACCGCCGTAATCATCTACTGCTACCGCACTCTGAACTGAAGAGGAAAACAGGTGTTAATGTGCTGTAGTACTTTGGTTACATGATTTGCATATCAGTGCATCTTTTATTTTATTTACATTCTGCACAGCGTCCCAACTTTAGTTACATTAATATTACATTAGCCTGTTTGTTACCTTCAAATCTGTTCATAACAGTACTATGCAAAAGTAAGAGACCACCCATCATTTATTTAATTTCCAGTCAAAACTCATTTTAAGCAAAATGTGTTCATTTTTCAGGAGATATTTCTGGAAAAATCAACATGTGCATATGCATATGCAAATAAAATCCTGTAAATATGTAAATTCCACCACGTAGATGACTTACGTAGCAGGAATGATTTGGAGTACCAAAAAATACAAGCTGCTAATTTGGCTAACTAGTGGAGTAATCAGATGTGTTGCATGCAGTTTGATTGTTATTGAATTGCTTTGTGTAAAAAACATAACATGCAAGTAGATGCGTGAAAGTTTTCCTGTGTCAAGCCATCCTAAGAGCTCAGTCTCATCTTACAGCATTGAAATACACTAAAACTACAACCCCATTTCCAAAAAAGTTGGGACGCTGTGCAAAATGTAAATTTAAAAAATTCAATGAAGTGCAAATCATTTAAACCCTATGTTTCATGGAAAATAGTACAAAGGCTATAAATGTTGCAAGATATGAAAAATATATGCCCATTTTGAATTTGATGCCAACAACACGTTCCAAAAAGTTGAGACAGGGGCTTGTTTACCACTGTTGTTTCATCACCTCTTCTTTTAACAACACTCTGTAAGCATTTGGGAACTAAGGAGACTCTGCTATAATTTTGAAGTCAAATGTTTTCCCATTTTTGCTTAGCATAGGATTTCAGCTGCTCAACAATTCAAGGTCTCCTTTGCCATATTTTTAATTTCACAATGCACCAAAGCTGAGTGGTCTTTAGCCCGAAGGACACAGTGTCCATTATTTCCAAAAATAATTTCAGATGTTGATTCGTCAGACCACAGGACACTTTTCCACTTCCCTCAGTTCATTTTAAATGAGCATGGGCCCAGAGAAGGCGGCAGAGATTTCTCCTGCTTCTCTGAATCATTCTCTGAATGTTATTTTGTACCATAGATGATGAACGTTGAGAAACGTCATTCTTGAATTGTTGCACTATTTGATCGTGCAGTCTTTCACAGGGTGATGAACCCCTCCTCATCTTTACTTCTGAACGACTGAGCCTCTCTGAGATGCTCTTTTATACCCAATCATGTTACTGACCTGTTGCCAATCAACCACCAGGTGTTTTTTTAAGCATTACACAACTTTACCCACCTTTTGTTGCCCCCGTCCCAACTTTTTGGGAACGTATTGTTGGCATCAAATTCAAAATGGACATATATTTTTGAAAAAAACAATAAAATTGCTGTTTGATATGTTGCCTCTGAAGCATTTTCGATGTAATATAGGGTTTAAATGATTTGCACATCATTGCATTTTGTTTTGTATTTACATTTTGCGCAGCGTCCTAACTTTTTTGAAAATGGGGAAGTAAAATCTTCATGAAAATAGGTGTTTGAATATATAGTCGTTCCTCTTTATTACTGTAAATGTGCATCACATATTCAGAATTATCACCTTATGAAACAGTAAATTATGTGAAATATATGAATGTGAAAGGTCATTAATTTGACCATTTTGTGTCAGACCTGAATGCTTTAATATTAGGAGCAATAATAAATGCAATATGGGTATCTTTTGAGCATGATGTGCATTGCATCTTATTTATTCTCTAAAAAAGAATTTTAATGTATTCATGATCATATGAAGTACCCACTAAATATTATTGTGTTTTCAATGCATTACAAGTGTGTTACTCATTACTAAATCCACTATATAAATGTTTCAAAATAGCTATGCAGTTGTAATGGAGTATGACTGTACATTTTCTTGAATATGTCATAGATGCTTCATATATATGTAAAGTGTTACCATTAATCTGTACAAATAAGAGAAAAAGGATCAGAGCACCTCGAGAGTGAACAATAGGTGGAGGGCCGAAGTCTGCAAAGAAGAAAAATATGTTGAACATTACCTTGACTCAATTTTGAATTTTACATAAACAATTAGCAAAAAGAATAAATAAGCAGTGACTGAAATAGACAAGTCTCATTAGTCGATGTTCTATGCACCTCCTTCAGACATTAACCTCCTGTTGCGTACCCCCTCTCACTCCTTATATGTACATGTGCACACATTGCCATGATTGCCTTATGTTGGCATTTAGATTTATAGAAGTCCCCATTAAAATATCAGACATTTATGACACTTCATACCAGACATGCGGAACAATATTGAAAAAATACTGTGTGCACAGTGATATGAGGGCACATATGTACCCGTAAGAGAGTCTGTGACTGTAAAATGAACCGAAACCAAGTAATATTCAATATAATACACTGGATGAATTACATTTATAATGCAAAATATTTAAATTGTGCTTATTTTAAGCTGCCTTTACTAAAGAAATATACAGTCACAGGCAAAAGTTTGGGTGCCCCCATCAAATTGCATGTTTAGCTGATTTTCTTAGTGACACACCCTCTACAGAGAACATACTTTACTGCACAGTTACTGTTTACATCATGAGAATGAAGTACATACCGCCATCTACCACATCAGCTACCACACTCTGAACTGAAGAGGAAAACAGGTGTTAATGTGCTGTAATACTTTGGTTACATGATTTGCATATCAGTGCATCTTTTATTTTATTTACATTCTGCACAGCGTCCCAACTTTAGTTACATTAATATTACATTAGCCTGTTTGTTACCTTCAAATCTGTTCATAACAGTACTGTGCAAAAGTAAGAGACCACCCATCATTTATTTAATTTCCAGTCAAAACTCATTTTAAGCAAAATGTGTTCATTTTTCAGGAGATATTTCTGGAAAAATCAACATGTGCATATGCATATGCAAATAAAATCCTGTAAATATGTAAATTCCACCACGTAGATGACTTACGTAGCAGGAATGATTTGGAGTACCAAAAAATACAAGCTGCTAATTTGGCTAACTAGTGGAGTAATCAGATGTGTTGCATGCAGTTTGATTGTTATTGAATTGCTTTGTGTAAAAAACATAACATGCAAGTAGATGCGTGAAAGTTTTCCTGTGTCAAGCCATCCTAAGAGCTCAGTCTCATCTTACAGCATTGAAATACACTAAAACTACAACCCCATTTCCAAAAAAGTTGTGACGCTGTGCAAAATGTAAATTTAAAAAAATTCAATGAAGTGCAAATCATTTAAACCCTATGTTTCATGGAAAATAGTACAAAGGCTATAAATGTTGCAACATATGAAAAATATATGCCCATTTTGAATTTGATGCCAACAACACGTTCCAAAAAGTTGAGACAGGGGCTTGTTTACCACTGTTGTTTCATCACCTCTTCTTTTAACAACACTCTGTAAGCATTTGGGAACTAAGGAGACTCTGCTATAATTTTGAAGTCAAATGTTTTCCCATTTTTGCTTAGCATAGGATTTCAGCTGCTCAACAATTCAAGGTCTCCTTTGCCATATTTTTAATTTCACAATGCACCAAAGCTGAGTGGTCTTTAGCCCGAAGGACACAGTGTCCATTATTTCCAAAAATAATTTCAGATGTTGATTCGTCAGACCACAGGACACTTTTCCACTTCCCTCAGTTCATTTTAAATGAGCTTGGGCCCAGAGAAGGCGGCAGAGATTTCTCCTGCTTCTCTGAATCATTCTCTGAATGTTATTTTGTACCATAGATGATGAACGTTGAGAAACGTCATTCTTGAATTGTTGCACTATTTGATCGTGCAGTCTTTCACAGGGTGATGAACCCCTCCTCATCTTTACTTCTGAACGACTGAGCCTCTCTGAGATGCTCTTTTATACCCAATCATGTTACTGACCTGTTGCCAATCAACCACCAGGTGTTTTTTTAAGCATTACACAACTTTACCCACCTTTTGTTGCCCCCGTCCCAACTTTTTGGGAACGTATTGTTGGCATCAAATTCAAAATGGACATATATTTTTGAAAAAAACAATAAAATTGCTGTTTGATATGTTGCCTCTGAAGCATTTTTGATGTAATATAGGGTTTAAATGATTTGCACATCATTGCATTTTGTTTTGTATTTACATTTTGCGCAGCGTCCTAACTTTTTTGAAAATGGGGAAGTAAAATCTTCATGAAAATAGGTGTTTGAATATATAGTCGTTCCTCTTTATTACTGTAAATGTGCATCACATATTCAGAATTATCACCTTATGAAACAGTAAATTATGTGAAATATATGAATGTGAAAGGTCATTAATTTGACCATTTTGTGTCAGACCTGAATGCTGACCAAGTAATATTCAATATAATACACTGGATGAATTACATTTATAATGCAAAATATTTAAATTGTGCTTATTTTAAGCTGCCTTTACTAAAGAAATATACAGTCACAGGCAAAAGTTTGGGTGCCCCCATCAAATTGCATGTTTAGCTGATTTTCTTAGTGACACACCCTCTACAGAGAACATACTTTACTGCACAGTTACTGTTTACATCATGAGAATGAAGTACATACCGTCGTAATCATCTGCTGCTACCACACTCTGAACTGAAGAGGAAAACAGGTGTTAATGTGCTGTAGTACTTTGGTTACATGATTTGCATATCAGTGCATCTTTTATTTTATTTACATTCTGCACAGCGTCCCAACTTTAGTTACATTAATATTACATTAGCCTGTTTGTTACCTTCAAATCTGTTCATAACAGTACTGTGCAAAAGTAAGAGACCACCCATCATTTATTTAATTTCCAGTCAAAACTCATTTTAAGCAAAATGTGTTCATTTTTCAGGAGATATTTCTGGAAAAATCAACATGTGCATATGCATATGCAAATAAAATCCTGTAAATATGTAAATTCCACCACGTAGATGACTTACGTAGCAGGAATGATTTGGAGTACCAAAAAATACAAGCTGCTAATTTGGCTAACTAGTGGAGTAATCAGATGTGTTGCATGCAGTTTGATTGTTATTGAATTGCTTTGTGTAAAAAACATAGCATGCAAGTAGATGCGTGAAAGTTTTCCTGTGTCAAGCCATCCTAAGAGCTCAGTCTCATCTTACAGCATTGAAATACACTAAAACTACAACCCCATTTCCAAAAAAGTTGTGACGCTGTGCAAAATGTAAATTTAAAAAAATTCAATGAAGTGCAAATCATTTAAACCCTATGTTTCATGGAAAATAGTACAAAGGCTATAAATGTTGCAACATATGAAAAATATATGCCCATTTTGAATTTGATGCCAACAACACGTTCCAAAAAGTTGAGACGGGCTTGTTTACCACTGTTGTTTCATCACCACTTCTTTTAACAACACTCTGTAAGCATTTGGGAACTAAGGAGACTCTGCTATAATTTTGAAGTCAAATGTTTTCCCATTTTTGCTTAGCATAGGATTTCAGCTGCTCAACAATTCAAGGTCTCCTTTGCCATATTTTTAATTTCACAATGCACCAAAGCTGAGTGGTCTTTAGCCCGAAGGACACAGTGTCTATTATTTCCAAAAATAATTTCAGATGTTGATTCGTCAGACCACAGGACACTTTTCCACTTCCCTCAGTTCATTTTAAATGAGCATGGGCCCAGAGAAGGCGGCAGAGATTTCTCCTGCTTCTCTGAATCATTCTCTGAATGTTATTTTGTACCATAGATGATGAACGTTGAGAAACGTCATTCTTGAATTGTTGCACTATTTGATCGTGCAGTCTTTCACAGGGTGATGAACCCCTCCTCATCTTTACTTCTGAACGACTGAGCCTCTCTGAGATGCTCTTTTATACCCAATCATGTTACTGACCTGTTGCCAATCAACCACCAGGTGTTTTTTTAAGCATTACACAACTTTACCCACCTTTTGTTGCCCCCGTCCCAACTTTTTGGGAACGTATTGTTGGCATCAAATTCAAAATGGACATACATTTTTGAAAAAAACAATAAAATTGCTGTTTGATATGTTGCCTCTGAAGCATTTTCGATGTAATATAGGGTTTAAATGATTTGCACATCATTGCATTTTGTTTTGTATTTACATTTTGTGCAGCGTCCTAACTTTTTGAAAATGGGGAAGTAAAATCTTCATGAAAATAGGTGTTTGAATATATAGTCGTTCCTCTTTATTACTGTAAATGTGCATCACATATCCAGAATTATCACCTTATGAAACAGTAAATTATGTGAAATATATGAATGTGAAAGGTCATTAATTTGACCATTTTGTGTCAGACCTGAATGCTTTAATATTAGGAGCAATAATAAATGCAATATGGGTATCTTTTGAGCATCATGTGCATTGCATCTTATTTATTCTCTAAAAAAGAATTTTAATGTATTCACGATCATATGAAGTACCCACTAAATATTATTGTGTTTTCAATGCATTACAAGTGTGTTACTCATTACTAAATCCACTATATAAATGTTTCAAAATAGCTATGCAGTTGTAATGGAGTATGACTGTACATTTTCTTGAATATGTCATAGATGCTTCATATATATGTAAAGTGTTACCATTAATCTGTACAAATAAGAGAAAAAAGATCAGAGCACCTCGAGAGTGAACAATAGGTGGAGGGCCGAAGTCTGCAAAGAAGAAAAATATGTTGAATATTACCTTGACTCAATTTTGAATTTTACATAAACAATTAGCAAAAAGAATAAATAAGCAGTGACTGAAATAGACAAGTCTCATTAGTCGATGTTCTATGCACCTCCTTCAGACATTAACCTCCTGTTGCGTACCCCCTCTCACTCCTTATATGTACATGTGCACACATTGCCATGATTGCCTTATGTTGGCATTTAGATTTATAGAAGTCCCCATTAAAATATCAGACATTTATGACACTTCATACCAGACATGCTGAACAATATTGAAAAAATACTGTGTGCACAGTGATATGAGGGCACATATGTACCCGTAAGAGAGTCTGTGACTGTAAAATGAACCGAAATGTTCACTAACGTGCCACAGAGCACATATATCACAGTAACATCATCCATTTAGTTTTAACCCTACAGCTCCAACCAGCTCCAGAAACATGTGGCCAACATGATAATGGCTAAGCGCCAATCATAGCAGCTACAAACTAATATCTCACTACATCTGCAAAGTAAACCACGTCTGAGAAAGTGAAACTAACTAGAGTACGTGACTAACACAACAGTGCATAATGAACAAACGAATGAACTGTAAGTTAGTTTCTCCAGAACGCGCAGTGCACAGATGGAACCAGAGTGAAATGTCTTTTTCTCCAACACAGCCTTTTATACAAATAACAATAAATAAAGAACGAAATTCCTATCAGAGTGCAGGTTTTTCCTGTGCTGGATGTTATAAATACTCCACTCACTCCTCACTCACGCATATACACCAGAGCACAACGCTACCCAGAAGTTTGGCATTGGCTTTAGATTAAACTCGTATTCAGAGATCCACTCGTAGTGATTTTGCTGAGGATCTCTTGTTCAAGATTTGCTGACTGGAATGCAGCTTTTTGTTTTGGGGAAGTACTGGTGTAATTGTGTAGCCGCTCAACGGAATGAAATGAAGATTAACCTCTTAAAATCTCAGATTTAAGACATACTAAGGTTTACTATTCAGTAACTACAGGGAGTTAGATGCAAACTGCCTGAGCTATTCTTAGGGTTTGGAAGTGTGTATGGAAACATTGGGCCTGCTGGTTGGCCCTGGCCATTTAAGGGGTTAAATGAAGTGTAAATGTCAAACATCAAGCTTTTTGATGTACCCCCAGTGTCGTTTGGTGTAGCCCTAGCGTTAAGCGTACCACAGTTTGGGAACCACTGCCCTAGATGATATGCCTGAAGCAGCTTACTAATAAGCAATGTGAAGAGGTCATGAAGTTTAGAGAAAGACTTACAACCCGGAGAGTGAACAAAAGGCGGAGGGCCGATGCCTGGTGAGGAGAAAAAGATGTTGAATGTTAGGCCTTCATTCAATTTTGAGTTTTACATAAACAATCAGTAAAAAGGATAAATAAGCAGTGACTAAAATAGACTCATTAGAGGTTCCATGCACCTCCTTTATGAAAATTTTGAAAATACAAATAAAAAAACCTGATTGGTTTGTAAGTTTTTACGCTTGTAGTGGAAAAGTTGGTTCATCGTTAAAGGACAAATGAAACGAAGCTGGCTTTTTCGAATAAGTGTTGAAGTAGTGCTTAGAGACTGGTTAAGAGTCGTGCCAGTCATCATATTGCTTATGGTCAATTACGGCCCCAAAAAGATTTCAATTTAGATCAAGGATTCAAATGAATCTGGTGGGCTGAATAAGAACCCATGTGCTGTATGTCCAAGCTGAAGACATACTAAGGTCCACTATTCAGTGACTACAGGGACTTCAGTGCAACCTGGCTGAGCTATGCATGCATACAAGTGCATTAACAGAAGGTTAATTAAGGATTAAAAATGTGAATGCTGCACGGTCCTGTTTTACTCAATGTTATTAAGCTGAGCTTAGTTTAGAGCCTCTTAAAAGTTTTGACATTGAGCTGTCAACATTTTTTGTGTAAGAGTTGGCTCCAGGGCTAGGCTACCGCCGGCCACCAGGGGGAGTCAACGACCCAAATGAGCCACACCTGCTCAGGGGGCTTTATAAGGGCTGGGAAGAAGACACACTTTGCTGAGTCTTAGTTTTAGAGTTTTGGCAAACAGACCGGCCGGCAGTCTCGGGTAGAAGCTCTAGAGAATTTATCTCAAGCTTCTTTCTCTTTGTCACTTCTCGAGCCTTTCCCCTTTCTTGAGTTGTATCTTTTTTCCTTTAAAAAAAAAAAAAATGAGAAAGAACTAAATGTAAAACTATAGAAGGGACAAGTCTGTCCCTTTCTCCTTTTCGTTCTTCTAAATAGTCAAATCTCATTTTGTTTTGATTGTCATTAAATTAGGAAGTAAATTAGGAGTCCACATTACTGTCTACATACAGTAAGAAGCACCTACACTATTATAAATGCCTTCAGGGGTGTCAAACTCATTTTAGGTGATGGGCCACATTACACACTGTCCAATGTCAAATTGGCCGAAACAGTGTCAAGTTTAGCGCATCAACAAATCCTCATAAATGTGTTTATTTTATTGTCCTTAATCTTAAAGTTACATTCTAAAAGAACAAACTGTGTCCCTTTCCCAAATTTATCTTAGTATTAAGATCGTCTTAACTGGTAGAGAGTGAGTGTTCAGTGTGATGCTCGCTCTACCACTTAAGAATCATCATTATGCTGAGATGCTTTTGGGAAACCCAGCCCTGATTGAACAAATACTACCTACAAAACATATTAGACTGATCTTAATATTGTTCTGCAAATATCGTCGAGACGGGTAGAATGCAGGTCACATAGCAACACAGTCTCGCCTGGCAAGTAGCAAACGAAAGGCAATGAGAGAGATTTAAGACGAACATTTGGAGACGAATGGACTTATTCGCATTTATAAGCAGCACAGTGGAATGGGAATATTCAAACAAGACGCTGGCGAATAAGCAGTGACTTTAGCCTCGTAAAACAGTCGAACGTTGAGAGACATTTTACAAGAAACTGTTCAACTTTTGATGAAAAGTTTTCTGGCGTAGATGGGAGGAAATCAGCTATAGCTAAAGCTTAAAGCAGAGCAAAGTAAGTCTGCATTTTCATATATTTTTTTAGCCTATTCTAGGCCATCAGCACATACTGAAACATATTGGACATAGGGCTGGGCGATAAAATGATAACGATAAGTATCGCGATATAACTTTTCCTCGATAGAGCGATAAGACAGGTTCGATAAATGTTCGACATAATACACCATTCTCACACTTCCACGTTTTAGCGAAAGCCCTGGTGGCGCTTTCTACTGCAAGGAAAGCGACACTACTCTGCTGTCGCCAGGAGAGGGCGCACTTCCGAATTTTTCGACTTGATTAGAGAGGGAGGGGACCACGAGTAAAAAAGGGTCACCAAATATACTTTAGTTAGGAACGGCTGAAACGCGGAGTTATACAGTCCCTGTCTGAGTGGATGTTATTGGCGATCTGTTCTCCTGTGACCGAGTGTGAGTGACGAGGTCAGTGGTGTAACTGTACTGTCCTACGGTGAACTCACCTCTTTCCATGCATTCTAACAACTTTAGCAGTTTTAAATCACGTCTGCAGCGCCGTGTTACAGCGCCAAACCGTCATATTTTAGTATTGGTGCATTCTCGAGTAACGAAAGTGAAAGAAAGAAGTGGTTCATGTTCGAAGGTAAACTGAGGAAGCTGTGAGGCGTTGGAGAGCGCGAGAGCGCTGTCTTTCCAGGCTAGCTGTTTTTAGCTGCCGGCTAACTTGAAGCAGCGCTCCGGCAAAACACGGTGAATTGATGATACGGTAGATCAAACAAGACACAAAATCACCGCTTTCAGTTTAAACATACCTAAAAGGAGGACTCTGTGACTGGTGTGAGGGATTCACACTGCAGATAATGCTTTTACACAGCGAGCGTCAGATATACTGCGGTTCACCCCTCAAACTACTACGATAGTATAGAGAAACACAGGCGTTGCTAGCTGGTGTCTGAATACTGTGATCTGCTCTGACATGGATGTGGTAGGAGTGACAGCAGTGACCTACCGAACCGAGCTGACGTTGTTGAGAAACTAAAGAGTTTAGCCACTTGTTTAGCGTTTGTAACGGGGTAGCCGAGCGCTCGTCACCAGACAGCTAAAAATAATCTGTTTTCTCTCTTAAATCATGACTATTACAAAAATTGCAGCTGTGCATTTCAAGCTGATAAAAACAGCTCAGAAACTTTCTCCCACTGTCCCAAGACAGATCAGTGAAATGTTCCACTGTTTGGTGAGTGTTTGTCATGATCGGACCATAAGTGATAGTTTAAAACCACAGTTAACCACCCAGGAGCAAAAGCAGCCTTCAAACGTGAAAGAAATCATGATTTGACATTTATCGCGAGATATATATATATATATATCGATATCGAACGATATGAATTTTGTTTATCGTGATAACGTTTTTGGCCATATCACCCAGCTCTAATTGGACATAAAATGTTGTGGCTCCCAGGGTGGTTTGATTTTTGTTGAAAGGACAAAATGTGTCTTCTTAATATTTGGGTTGTGACTCCTGACCTAAACTAGCTTTTAATGCAGACGGTGCCGGTTGGATTTCTCGCTCATCCAGTTGTGTTTTTGTTATGTGCCGCCACAGACTGTCCGGGCGCTGCACTTCCGCACTTCCAAGTTCCGCCTTTTGCGTTCCATCAACATTATGCTATAAATCAAAATTTAGAAAATCGATTTTTGACATTTGTGAATTGATTCAGAATTGTTCACGTCTGCATCGCGATGCTTCTAAGAATCAATCCACCCCCCACCCCTAGTAACTAGTGTTAGAAGTTTGCAGTAAGGCTGGCTAATACTACTTCACAGCAAAAAAAAACAGTATATTGTGCTGTGATTAAACTTAACAACTAAAATGAATGAGGCCATTAAAAATCAGAGTGAATATCATTCCAATAAGAGAATAGGCACAAACCTTGTCGACCAGCTGATGCTGTGGAGAAAAAAGATGATGTACAGTGTTAGCCTTTAATTCAGCTTAGATTCTTAGATATGCAGCTGAAGTAAAAACATATCACTGTAATACTGAAAACACCTAGCCAAGCTGGCAAATGAAGCTGCTGCATTGACACCTTTACAATAAGTACGATATTTTTAAGCAATTTTCATTCAATCTGTAAACCTCCTTGAATGAGAAAATGTTACAAGTCACAGTGAAAAAAATCTGCTCAAATAATGTAGAGTGGGGTGCTGAGGACTGTGGCCACATGTACCTGGAAACCCACTAGGTCCTGCAAAGAGGAGAGAAGATTTAAAGCATTAAACCTTGATTGAAATTAGGATGTTGAATATGAAATGATTAAATAGTCAAATCTCATTTTGTTTTGATTCTCATTAAATTAGGAAGTAAATAGAGTCCACATTACTGTCTACATACAGTAAGAAGCACCTACACTATTATAAATGCCTTCAGGGGTGTCAAACTCATTTTAGGTGATGGGCCACATCACACACTGTCCAATGTCAAATTGGCTGAAACAGTGTCAAGTTTAACGCATCAACAAATCCTCATAAATGTGTTTATTTTATTGTCCTTAATCTTAAAGTTACATTCTAAAAGAACAAACTGTGTCCCTTTCCCAAATTTATCTTAGTATTAAGATCGTCTTAACTGGTAGAGAGTGAGTGTTCAGTGTGATGCTCGCTCTACCACTTAAGAATCATCATTATGCTGAGATGCTTTTGGGAAACCCAGCCCTGATTGAACAAATACTACCTACAAAACATATTAGACTGATCTTAATATTGTTCTGCAAATATCTTCGAGACGGGTAGAATGCAGGTCACATAGCAACACAGTCTCGCCTGGCAAGTAGCAAACGAAAGGCAATGAGAGAGATTTAAGACGAACATTTGGAGATGAATGGACTTATTCGCATTTATAAGCAGCACAGTGGAATGGGAATATTCAAACAAGACGCTGGCGAATAAGCAGTGACTTTAGCCTCGTAAAACAGTCGAACGTTGAGAGACATTTTACAAGAAACTGTTCAACTTTTGATGAAAAGTTTTCTGGCGTAGATGGGAGGAAATCAGCTATAGCTAAAGCTTAAAGCAGAGCAAAGTAAGTCTGCATTTTCATATATTTTTTTAGCCTATTCTAGGCCATCAGCACATACTGAAACATATTGGACATAGGGCTGGGCGATAACTTCCTCGATAGAGCGATAAGACAGGTTCGATAAATGTTCGACATAATACACCATTCTCACACTTCCACGTTTTAGCGAAAGCCCTGGTGGCGCTTTCTACTGCAAGGAAAGCGACACTACTCTGCTGTCGCCAGGAGAGGGCGCACTTCCGAATTTTTCGACTTGATTAGAGAGGGAGGGGACCACGAGTAAAAAAGGGTCACCAAATATACTTTAGTTAGGAACGGCTGAAACGCGGAGTTATACAGTCCCTGTCTGAGTGGATGTTATCGGCGATCTGTTCTCCTGTGACCGAGTGTGAGTGACGAGGTCAGTGGTGTAACTGTACTGTCCTACGGTGAACTCACCTCTTTACTAACATCCTAACAACTTTAGCGGTTTTAAATCACGTCTGCAGCGCATTCTAAAAGAACAAACCGTGTCCCTTTCCCAAATTTATCTTAGTATTAAGATCGTCTTAACTGGTAGAGAGTGAGTGTTCAGTGTGATGCTCGCTCTACCACTTAATCATCATTATGCTGAGATGCTTTTGGGAAACCCAGCCCTGATTGAACAAATACTACCTACAAAACATATTAGACTGATCTTAATATTGTTCTGCAAAGATATTTATCAATAGACCTTATATAAAAATAGTTGTTAGCAAACAGTAAAGTAGAGCTGAGCTTATTTTAGAGCCTCTTAATAGTTTTGACACTGAGCTGTGAACGTCACCTTCTGTAGAGTGAAACTGTCATTAAACATAACTACTAAGCTGAATGAGGCCATTAAAGGTCAGAGTGAATATAATGCAGTGCAGTAAGAGAAAGAGGCACAAACCTGCTTGACCAGATAATGCTGCAGAGAAAAATGATGTACAGCGTTAGCCTTTGATTCAACTTTGCATTTTAAAATTGAATAAATAAGCAATGACAAAAATTGGCAACTCTCAGCTACAAATTCTTAGATATGCAGCTGAAGTGAGAACATATTACTGTAATACTGAAAACAGCTAGCCAAGCTGGCTAATGTGGCTGCTGCATAGACACATTTGCAGTAAGTACACGATTTTTAAGCAATTTTCATTCAATCTGTAAATTTCCTGGTTTCAGAAAGTGTTACAAGTCATGATGAAAATAATGTAGAGTGGAGTGCTGAGGTCTGTGGACACATGTACCTGGCATCACAGCAGCTCCTGCAAAGAGGAGAGAAGATTTGAAGCATTAAACCTTGATTCAATTTAGAATGTTAAATATGAAATGATTAAGTAGTCAAATACCATTGTTTTGATTCTCATTATTCATTTTTTTTTCATGTTGGAGTAAATAGAAGTCCACATTACTGTCTACATACAGTAAGAAGCACCTACATTATTATAAATGCCTTCATGGGTGTCATTTTAGGTGATGGTCCACATTACTCTCTGTCCAATGTCAAGGCTGGACCAGTGTCAAATTTAGCAGACCAATAATGCATCAGATTTAAATCCTGTTAAACTTGTTGGGGAATATGTGGAGAAGATATTCCATCCATATAATCCACCTTCAGATTATTTTAAAAACTATGAAAGCGTGACAAATCATTATTATTATTATTATTATTATTATTATTATTATTTATTAGAAGTTGTACTTTGTGAGGAGCTTTCACGGTGGAGGCTGCTCTCATTGATAGTTACAGAAATTAGGTGTTGGGAAAACAAAAGGCTGCTGGTTTTTAAATTTTACATTTTAATTTGTTGTTTTATACTTAATTTTAGGATAGCTGAGTTATCTTGGGCCAGACTGCAGAGCCAGTGGTGAATCACCACTGTATTTTTGTCTAGGCTTAGTCTGCAGATCTGGAAGATCAGTGGTACTTTTTACAGCAGCACTACTGTGTCTGATCCACTCGTAGCAACACAACACACACTAACACACCACCACCACATCAGTGTTACTGCAGTGCTGAGAATTGTAGAGTTTTTTTGGTTTGCTCCATTAGGAGCTGTAAGGCTGGCTTGACAAGGTGAAATTTAACATGCCGCTTTAGTTGCTTAAAAACCTACATGAAACTAAATTTCACCTCAGCTGCATGATAAAGCACCCTGCAACTCAGTTTAAACTCAGCTGCAACAGTTGCAAACATCTTGCAACATGAACATGAACAGATTAAAAACAAGAAAATAAGTAACTACAGATGGATTATACTTATAAATTATATTTATTCTCAGAATTTTAATGTGTTCATGACCATGTCATGAAATACCCACTAAACATTGTGTGTTTTCAATGCATCACACGTTTGTTACTTATTATGAAATCTACTATATGAATGTTTCAAAATGGCCATGCAGTTGTAATGAAGTATGCCATAGGTGCTTCACGTACATGTAAGGCGTTACCATTAATCTGTTTAAATAAGAGATAAAGGATTGGAGGACCTGATTTAAGCCGAGCAGTAATCAGAGAGTTGATTTCTGCAGTGGAGAAAAAGATGTTGAACGTTACGCCTTGATTAAATTTCAGATTTTACATTTGGATGGAAGTTTTTACTCTTGGATGAAGTGGAAAAGCTGGTCCATTGTTAAAGGAGAAGTGCAATGGAGCTGGCTTTTTCAAATTATATATTTAATAATTTGATAAAATTAATGCAGCTGGGTAATTCCTAAACTGTAGGCTGTTCTGTGTTTGTGGCGAAGGTTTCAGAACAATTTAAAATTTCAACATGTCTGTTCTTCGCATGTTTACCACCAAGTTAAGACGGTTGATTACTGAGCTGCTACTGTGATACACCTACAGTCTCGCAAGCTCCCTGAAGTAAAAAGGAACATGCTTCTTATACCAGAAACTGTTATAGGTCACAGTGAAAATAATAAATTCAAATAAGAGAAAAAGGAGCAGAGGACCTGGATGACGCAAGGAAAACATAGGCCGCTTGGCTGTAGAGGAGAAAAAGATGTTGAACATTAGGCCTTGATTCAGATCTGAATTTGAAACAGCAAAACAGTAAACAGGGTGAACAAGAACCGACTGAATAAGACTTGTTTTTCAGTATACACTGTTGTGCGGTAGTAGCAGCTGTATTTAAGACTACCATGTGTTGACCACTGATTATTTGGGTAGTCGGCTGTTGACGGTTTAAAGTTGCGCTCATGCAGAGTAATGTTTGTTGTTCACATTAACTGTACTGAAACTTTGCAGATCAATTAGCTAGCTAAGTTGTTCTTCTGAAGCAGTTCTCATTAAATGTGATGTGACCTGGTGGACAGTTTGCTGGTAAAGTAGCTCAGATCTAGAGGCTGTCAACTCTCCTGCATTGGCTGTGCAACTCAAGCGGTTAGGTCTAAATTCATAGTCTCGCATTGCATTGTGTGTTTTAGATCAGTGGAGGTTGGACTGGTATCCATAGCAACAGGAAACCATAAGGGAATGTCTGTAGCATGGAACGTAGTGCAGTCATGTGCCCAAACACTTAAAAATGAAGAAAATTTTAAGTGTAAAAAATACAAGACCTGGGCAGTAAACTAAACATGAACAAGACAAACCTTAACTGGAATTATCATAAAATCAAGAGCAATATTTATCACTACACATAGCAACATAATGTTACTGTCGCGCAAAAATCTTGTATCTTCATTGTCATTTTTGACACTGGGTTAAAAGTTCATAATGAATGGACCAACATAATTACATACATTACAAATACGAATGCATTACATTAACTTCCTTTTCAAGTTACAAATGTTTCTCCCTCTTTCTTTTGTTGTCGTTCTTGCAAGATTTTGTTCCAACAGCGACGATGTGCTACAAAGTGAACATAGTTTTGTTTAACTAGGACTGCTTACGAAGAAAACATTAACCAGTGCTAAAACTAGGCCATCTTTAACTGATGTCCTTGCTGTTACCACGGTTGATCGCTTGTTTGGGAAGACACAAAGTTGGACAAGTGGAGGATGAATTCTCTGATCTGATTAGACAACTAAATATGCAAGGTAAAAATAACAAACAGGATAACAGATACATTTTTTATAAATGCTAATTGGTCAGAATGTTTCTTAAACCCCCACAGTTTGTCCAAGTGCCAGATAAAGACATGTACAAAGTGTACTTAGAGGGATTAATGTGATGAAGAATGAGGGATGTTTTGCTTTACTTGCAGTGCAAACACCAGCTCGGCTGAGAAGTAAGTAGCTACCTTGGCTGCCAAAGTAACCATCAAACCATGTGACTTGCTCACAAGATGTGTTATAGGTGTGCTTTTTTGATAATGTTAATTTTATATTAAGAGGAGTTAAGAAGCAAGACTCGGATGATGCTAACTGGAGTGTTTGATTTAGTGACTTTTACTGAATGCTAGCACTCCAGTTGGTCACTTAACGTTTGCAGATTTATCTCAGAATAACCAGTGAACTTGAAGTGATTCTGGCCTTCAGACAAATAAAATGTGGATTTACTTGTCCATTGGACGTCCACGAAAAAGCTTAATGTCAAGCCCTCTCTACATCTGAGCTTGGCAGAAGTTGTACATTTTAAGTGTAAATGCAACCCTATTTAGTAATATTTGATATGGAATTTCAGTGGCTGCAATTCCATTCAAAAGAATTCAAATGTTTAGGACCCAAATGACTCTCATGGAATGCCTCACAAAGCGAATTAAAAAGTTTGTCTTCGTGAGTGATATAACGCACAAGTAAGTCAGGGCCTCTGATTAATTGGCTCTTCTTTCTTTATTTTTTAGAAAACCATCCACTCATCCACATGTACAGCAATTGATATCTGGCTGTTTACTGGTCTGATTTATTCAGAACATCAGCTCTGGTGCAGAATGGTGGCTGCGTAGGATACATTTTACGTGGCAGTTAAGAGCCAAGTACATATAGCAAAATGCTTAAAAACAAAATGCTTGACAATAAAAAGAAATACTTTCAATGAGCTGATTTTTATTTTTAAAAAATCCCAAAAAAAGGGATCTGTAGCATCAACACTGTCTAGCCCACTAGTTAGCTCTCATAGCCAGGATGCCATGTTAACATTGGACTGACTGCTGTCTTTTTCGGCAGCAATGTTGATTGAGAAGTGGGACAATGTTCTATTGAACAGTCGCTGACTGGCGGCAACGGTGTTTTCACCTTCATTAAAATTGAAGGTTTTGGGGTTTTGGATGCTGTGTGTTATGTGATTACCTCTTTTCATGCATACTAAATGTGGTGTAATTTGTCCACATCAGTTGGGGAATTTTTGTTATCGTGACACAACCGTGGATATCGTCAACAAACTGATCCACTGCATTTTTCACAAAAAATGGCCAAAAAACAGGTTAAGACACCCCTGTCCGTCTTAAACATTGCTGTGGATTGACACATATAGCTGGAAGCAAAAAGTGCATCTAGTACTTTTGTATAACTAGGACTTTATAGTGAGCACGTAAAATAGTTTAAAGTATTTTTGAAGTAATACTTAATAATACTACGAAATACTACCATGAAAATTCCAAGAAAAATTTGAGTTGGCAGCCCCAAGATCATGTTACTCTGACACTTTTTCACAGTACACCCTCCCACTGACTGATCACCAGCAGTGTAGTCTAGTTAAACTGACTAAAAATAATGCAAGCTCAAAAAAAAATTCTTATTATGCCAAAGCAAGATTTCTTAACTTGCTCCACTACCGAGTGGGGGTAGTTGCGGCAGTGCTTGTACACGGTCAAAAGGTCTGCGTGGCTGTTCTCCCTCTTTAGGTTTGTGGGCAACCTGTGTGTCCTCTTCGTGGGGCTTGGTGACCACCATGGAGGTCAGTGGAGTCACAAACTTGTACTTAAGCGAGAGATCCAGGGCTTCTTTCTTGGCTGCTTCTTTCTCTTCTCCTTTAAGTGTCACTCTGAGACACAAATAGTGTTAACATTCACACACACCATTCGACAACAGCATTTCTAACAACTTTGTACTGCAACGTTCATGGATCAAACAATAAAGTGTGTAAACAAAAATATAATAAAACAAAAAGTATGTGCTGAACAAGTGTGTTTACATGCACTCAATACGATCATTATCAGATTTCTGTAGTGATTCATTACAGTGGTCATGTAAACATCGTACTCAAATCTAGAAATTTGATAAAGAGAGCTGGATTTTAGCTCAGTAATCAGATTTCTCAGTGCATGTAAACTCTTACTCTGATTTCTTTTGAATTTCTCAGTCTGTGCATGTGTGAAAACAGACTGTGAGACTGTGGTACAGGAAGTAAACAAGCAGCGTTGCTGCGAGACGCAGCAAAACACTTTTGAAGCGACACTGAAACCAAACACAAAATAAAGGATTTATATTCTTGTTCTTCTAAATGGTGTATGTTCATATTTGACCTGATGGTTAAAATAAAAATCCAAATCTGATTTTTTTTAATCTGATTTACCAGATTATTAAGTGCATGTAAACACTCATTGATATAAATAGGTAAACATTTCCCAATTTTTTGCCAGTCTCTCTGTACTTCATCCTTTCAGTGCTCAGCAAGACTGACCATCATTACACCTTGAGCTTAAAATCTGATGTGAAGCATAATCTGTTAGTCATTCTGAAATGTATACAGGTTGGCCTGTGCCTGGTGACAGTTATCTTAGTAAACAGCACCCAGTGATGCTAAAAACTCACCGTAAACCATAGGAAGACACTGCAGTTTCCACGGATGAACACATCTGACCCCTGACCACACCTGAACACCTGACCTTAATCATGTGATATCCTGCTAATTGATATTCTACCATTAATATCTCATTTAACTAACAGAACTGAAATTGTTCCAGAATCTTGGCTGTTTAGCTGTGCTGATTAAAAAAGCACAGGATGCTTTGTGGCAGGCATATATGAGATCTGCACAGAAACTGCACAATTTCAGCTTGCAGTTTTGGTATAATTTAGTGTAATTCAGTCTGAGGCTAAAGGATGCAATGCTGTGCTACAGGACACTGTATGACACCATGATTGAATATTATTTTTATGACAGAATGCATAAAAATAATGTCCATTTATAGAAAACTGAAAAAAAGGCTGCACTAAATATTTTCACATTGCCATAAACAGACATACAGAGAGAAAACAGAGTAAACAAGCACACTGATGTTTGCACTCACTCTTTCTCCATTCGTTGTTTCACCGTGAGGTAAGCCCAGAGTCGCTGGATGAAGTTTTCATGTTCAGGCATCCCAGCGATGTCTTTCACTGACACAGAATCCTCGTATTTCACTTTATTGCTTTTCTGCAAAGAGTGAAACATTTGAAGAGAAGACCATTTGAAGAAGTCAACCAAGTGTGACAGCAATGTTGAGGTAAACTGGCTTTAGTAGCACATTGTATAAACAGGAATGGCCTTACAGAGATTGCGATGACCTCCGTTTGGAAAGTGTCCAGGCTGTTGTCTGTGATTTGTCCAGCTACCACGATCTCTGAGCCGTTGTAATAGTGGCTGAAACTGGTCTGGGTGAGATGTCCTGCTCCAATATAGTTCAGCTGGACATCAGTTAAGAGAGGGGTGGCCACCTCTTCATAGAAACCCTGCAAAACATGAAGGTAGCACTAGAGCTCTAGGGAGCCAGTACAGCAAAGGAATATGACATGGCTGTCACATATTTTTTGACATGTCAAAGCGCATATTCATCCCACCTGTAGCTGTAGATCAGCATCGGAGTCCTCATAGATCCTGCGAGCAAGTCCATTATTTTCCAGCGCCATTTTCTCCAGGAAATCGAAGTTGACATCAAATCCGAAGCCCAGACAGTACAGAGGAAACTTTCCTCCAATGGCCTCTTTCACATTGGCCTGAATCCTCTCTATGTCAGTTTCACCTGTGGGACAGAGCAGTGGAGGTTTTACTTTGTCTTATTGTGAAGCTAAGCAGACTACAATGTTACCAGGAATATTATTGCCTGACACACTAAACAACAAAGGGTTTTTATTCTGACATGGGCATCATAAAGAAGACCCCTAAAGTGACCTCCGTGGGGCAGTACCCAAGGATATTAGCCCTTTCACAAATATTAAAAAAAAATGTAATTTTTGAGTCATTTTTAGGCTGATTTAGTTTACCAAGTGGTGTGACCACTCAAAAACATGGTAGATGTGAAGTGTAAATTATAATAATAATAAGAAAAATTAGAAGAAGAATTGTATTATCTATTTGTTGCAAAAAATTTTAACCTTGAGTTCTAGGACAGATTTATACATAAGTACAAAAGCTAGTTTATTTTTTAATTTTAATACATTTGTTTTAATTAAAATGTGGTTGCACTACTTTTTGGGTGGTAAAATTGTTGATCTTTTTTTTAAAAATGAATTTATACCATTCTGAAAGCTGTGAAAAAAATGTAATTCTTTATTTTTCCCTTTAGTTTTTACATTTAATTTGAATACATTTACATTTAGAATTTCTAAAATTCTTATTTTGAAATTGCATATTTGTCATTGAGCCTTCTGTGCATTTGAGCACGGGTGGAGTGGAGGTGTTGTTGATTACATGACCTACTCAATTTACTTAATTTTCAGTCAGCATGTCTTTGTGGTATTCTCAAAAACATCTGAAAAACAGGTTTAAATTAATGCTAGCATCTCAGAAGCATGTTGGGTGACTTCCTATAACAATAGCAGTGGCCACAGCAGTTCAGCAGAATTCACCAACAGAATATCACTATTACTTCTCTCAGCACTCTGCTGTAGTTCGCCTAGTGCCTCTTACGGCATTGACTGTGTTATTCGTGTGTTTCACTGTGGAACCTTACAAGCACATCACAATTAGTAGGTGTTCCTGTGATCCATTTACAGTATCAGATGCTGCCATAGTTAACGGACCCTTAATTTCAGACACATTGTGACCATATATTGTGGCCACATTAAGGCATGTTTTACAGTCCGTCGTTTCATTTACATACACCTGTGTGTATCAGTGCATTTGTACCTGCTGTGGGATCTCCATCCGTCAGCAGAATAAGGATGGAGGCGGAGCCTTCTCTCGGGTGTCTCTTGATCATCTCCACCCCTTTCAGCACTGCGCCGTTGATGTCGGTGGCTGAGGGAGAAATATCAGCAATCAAAACAAATACAAACTAAAAACAACGTTCACCTTTTTTATTTCTTAAGTCGCATTTATTTCTGACATGTAGAAATTCTGTAATTTAAACTTTGAATTCACAAATTTTTTGTTTGTGATGGGCGTGGCCTCAGGTAGACCTAAGCCTACCAAGACTAAACAGAGGCCTACCCAATCAAATGGGGGAGATATTTATTACTCCACTTTTTAAGATAATTTAATCTGATTTGTTTTCTGTGAGCGCCGTCACTGTATTATAGCCAAAGTCATTACGCTCACCACCAAGCTCTGCCTTCCTCAGCCCTCCAGTCACTGCTTAGCAAATGTTGCTATCCGCCATTGCATCAAGCCTTTAGTATGTTGTCAGCGCACGTCATGCTCAATACTAGCATTAGGATGCTGAGGTCAGTGGTAGTTTCTGAAGTATTTCTACACAGCAGTGGTTTGGCCACAGACTGCACTGCCTGCTATGTTTATGTTTAAGGATGCTGGCAGTTAGTGAAGGGAAGTGTTGGTTGGGTTTGGGTCAGTCCAGTATTCTTGGTTGATGTCAGTTGACAGAGTCTTGCTGCTGTTTTGTATCGGGACAGAAGCGTTGGAAAAGGTGTAACGATGACTGCACTGCCATCAGTAATAGGCTATAACCTCATGTTACAACAATGCTGTACGTAGCACGCTTGGAAATTGTGTCTACCAAGTGGGCCTACACACTTTTTTACAGGCCAACCCAAAAATGTATTTCTGCCTACACCACTGGGTTGTCAGTAAAAGAGAAGATATTTTAGTGTGATTTCATTTTTATGAAATGTTGCAAATTTGTTTTTCCGTAAAGCAAAATTTGTCCTTTACATTTTGCCATGAATTTGTCATTTCTTGAGAAATGGTTGAAAAGTTTAGAAAACATTCAAAAGTAATTTCATTATGCGAGTATGTAATTGGTTATGTATTTGCATTTAAACAGTATAGTATAAACCAGTTGTTTTATTTATTTATTTTTTATTTTTACTTTTTTTTACCACAAGTATAGAGCAAAATGAAGCACATTCAGTATCATAAGCATAACATCACTGACTCTCATATGGGCCACATGCAGCACACGTGGTTGCACGTGTGTAGCATATGTGATTTGGGTATGTTTTTGCTTTTTTCCCACAAGTTATGTCGTAAAAATCATTTGAAATATGATCTGCTTCGCTGTTGTGTTGTGTTGGCCAGAGTGCACAGCTGGCTGTCCTCCTAATCTAGCCAACAATATGAATCAGAACAGATTTAAATAAGACATAAAATGTCCAACTAAGTATTAATGTGTTCATATTGTGGAGCTGAGTGGAGTACATCTCAATACAGTACAAATAAGGGTTGACATTTATTTGATAGTCTTGTTTGTAATGGGCAAAGGTGGCAGCTTTGTCACCCCTGTTGCCATGCCAACTCTGACATCAAAATCAATAATGTGAACCAATAAATTTACATTGGTGTGGATTAATTCCATATATTATGGTTTAGGTGTCTTCTGGATGCAGAAGTAGGGTAATGTTATGCACAGTGAGTGTGCATTTATTTATTTGTTTGTTTATTGTATCCAGAAACTGATTAAGTAAATGACAATTGTTTGCACCAATTGTTTACTACTTTTTTGCATAATTATTGATGATAATTATTTTAAAAGAATCTGACTTGCTCAAGATCAAATGTAAAAGCTATCTTACCTCCTCGATCTTGAATCTGCTTCACAAAGTCCTTTGCTTGCTTTAGGTTCCTCTCTGTGGCCTGGAGGAGTTCACGTTTCCAAACGTCTACTTGACTGTCAAAGGTGATCAGCCCAAAGTTGTCGTCACTAGCAAGATCTCCCAAAATCTTAAGCATCGCCAAACGGGTCTGCAGTGGAAAGCTTTTTAGTCACATAGTGACACTTTTACATAAACAGGACTGAATCCCTAATGATACTGTGTCAGTTCAAATTCTAACAGGTACTGTGGACATTAATTCACAAAACTATAAACAAGCATTGGATTTATTTATAGTTGCACCTGGTGGATTTTCCTGCCATGCATGGAGCCACTTCGGTCAATGATGAAGACTACATTTTTTGGGATTCGCTGGATATCCGTGGGTGAGAAGTAGTGGACAAAATAGCCGTTTGCTATCTGTTAGGGAGGAAAGAATAAACTGGAAAAGGGGAGCAAGCCTCAAAGGCATGGGTTAACTTTTCTAGCTGTCAGTTTTGCTTAAGAAAAAATAAGTAAACACATCCTCTACAGAGAACACACTTCTGCACATTTTAATACACAGTTACTGCTTATTTGCTGAATTTAACATATTAGAAAAAAAATAAAACATAAAATGTGGCCTGTGCAGAAGGAATGGAACATTTTTTGTATTGTTATATTTAATATATATTATGTTGTATATATTGTTCTTTTTCCAATATGTTAACCTCAGCAAATAAATAGAAATTGTGCACTAAAATTTGCAGAAAAATGTTGTATTTAAGTGTGTTCTCTTTAGAGGATGTGTTCACTTATTTTCACTTAGAAATTCAACAAAATGTAATTTGACTTGGGGTGTTAAAACTTGTGCGTACATCAGGTTGCAGCCCACTGCTTATAGTGTATATATAACACATTTAATATAAAAAATATCTTTTGAAATAGTGTTTATTATTTAGCAGACAGATAATGCCATACATTATAGATTATGTACATTTATTATAACCTTACAAAAGCATCTTAATTTATTTTAAAATGTAGGCATTTCTTCTACTGAGAGGCATGAAGTCACAGGTTAAAAGCGACCAAAAATATTTAGCGAAGAACATTACTAAGCCTGTATGAAGCTTTTGGTTAGTTACAGTTAAATATTCAGTCATGTGGATAAAGTATATTGCAAGTTCTGTGTTTCCATTATTACATCTTACAGATTTACTTTATTGTACAATGCAGTACCTGCAGTTCTCCACTGGGGTTTAGTCTCTCTACATCATAGGTTATGATCAGATCTCCATTCAGTCCATTTTCTGCGCAGCCTTCACACTTGGTCTGCTGCTCACGAGTTGGGTAGAAGGTCACCCACACCTGAAATAAGACGCTGAATGATTAAAACTCCTCCTTTTTTATTTAATCTGCTGCAAATCTGTTATATGTTGCATATGTAACATACTGTACACTTAGATACACATTCAGTTTTGTATTGTCTTGTACTGTTCCATTTTAAATAACCAAATCAGAAATTGCTTTTTTGCCTTATAATTGATATATAGATTGAATAATATACAGTGAGGGGAAACACGTATACTTTTTTCTTATTTAATACACATCCTCTGTGTATATCCACTTCAAATATACACACTTGATGTCTTTCAATTTTTTGCTTACAAACATGAACAAAAAGTATGTATTCATGAGCATAAACAATACTGAAAAAAAAACAAAATTGATAAGGAAAAAAGTATTCTGACACTATATTAAATATGTAAATGCTTCAGAAAAATAAATCGAATACTAAATGTTAATGCTGCAAAAAATGTATTTGCATGTGTCATTATAAAAGACATTGCCATTGATTTGGAAGATTTCACACAACAAGCAGCAATCATGGGCCTCTTTCATTAACAGATTTTCAAATAACACCCGTTTAGAGGATAAAGAAGATGAGAAAAACACAGAGACTGGAGTTGGAGTGACAGGCCGAATCAAACGTGGTTTGCGGTCTGTGGTTTGTGCGTGGCTGTGAGCCTGTTAGCAGTTAGTTTGTGTAGTTTTCTTGGGTATTTCCTGGCTTTAATTTAGCGGTACAACAGATGGAAACCGACACCGCAACCGGCTCAGTACGACCCTGAGAACCATTTGGCTCAATAGTGGAAAAGCGGCCATGGTGAAGGTGAAGGAGCTTCCTAAAGTTCTCAGGGAGAACATTATGTAACAGCACTTGAATGGAAAAAGCTAAAGAGACATAGCAAGGACCTCTATCTCTACGACTAACGATAAGGAAGAGAAGCCAGCAGTCACTTAAAAAAGAGTTGCAACATGACCTAAAAGCAGAAGAAACAACAGATATACAGAGAACAATAAGCAATGCACTCTTTTGGAACGGTGTACACTGGCTAGACGAAAGTAGAGCTCTTTCTCAGTAATTCAGCTCATGTTTGGAGAAAGAAGGTTTGCTCGTATGAGCCCAAAAACACTATGAAATATGAAGGTGGGAGCATCATGATATGGGGCAGCTTCTCTGCAAACTGTATTGGGGCATTATGTGTCAAGAAAGGAATTAAAGGAGAATTTAATCTCAGAAACTGAATCTGGGGAGAAGATGAATATTTCAATAAGACAGCGACCCCAAGTATAATACCTCAAGACTGGTTTGTAAAAATGCTGAAGGCGCATTCATGCCTTGAATCCCATCCAGAATTTATGGAGAATTTTGATATTGTGAGTCCATCAGAGGGATGAAGACGGTTTGCCAGGGGGAATGGGCCAAAAAAGAACCACAATGCACAAAAGCTAATTTTTTCTCACCATAGGCTGTAATTGGCTATAATTGACAACATAGGCTTTAAAACAAAGTACTCCCCCACCCCAACAGTTTCATTAAACATATCTTTTTATGCTAAGGAACTTTTAGTTCATATACACAGTACAAAGTCAAAAAATGTGCAAAGTCAATGTGGATGTGTGGGCTGGAAATATATTAAATAGCAAAAACAGAAGTGTATAAATACTTCCCCCTCACTGTATGTAATTTTTGGCAGCTGAACTTTGTATAATATAGTTTGTACTAATTACATTGTTTTTCTTGAATGTCATAAATGATACTTGAATTTAAATGAATCATTAAAATATTATTGTAGTGTATAACTCACCTCATTACCAGATCGTGTAGTGCTTACAGCACTGGCCAGCTCGTTGGTGCTCAGTCCTCCTTTCACTTCTAGGAAGGAAATGTCTGGACCCTCTTTAATGTACACATCAACCTGTCAGAGATGAAAATCCAAAATATAAGGCTACAGTTAGGATGGTAGCTTCATACTTGTTTTCTTGCATAACACTAATTTTGCTATTTGAAATAAAAATGAAATATGAAAATAAATCTATATTGTCCTGTCATCTGGTGAAGAAGATTCTCTATATGTAACAGTACGTGTGCTTTAGCAGCCATTTCTAGGTTTTTAATACTCTTTCCACTGCGTGACCCATATTACTTTGAAAAGTTAGTCAAACAAGTTAGGTTAATATTTAACAACTTATTTAGTTTGCTTGTAACTGCACCAGGACACAGTGCAGAGGAAAATAGTCAGCAAAAGTAGAATGTCACAAAAAAATTTAACACTTGTAAAGTTTTCTATTTCTAACTTTTCTAACTTTTCTGTTTCTAAATCTCACAGTTTTACACAATGAAAATGCTATTATTGGGCCTCATTCACCAAACGATCCTAAGAAGAAATTTCTTCTAAAAACCCACTTATGCAGTTTTCACAAATATCCTGACATTCACTAATGTTTTCTTATTTGGGATTTATTCTTAGGTAAGAACAGAATCTACACACACTCAAGAACACAAAGGTGAGAACAGTTCTGCGCTTTCATGAATCTGACAGACTTTTTCTTAGGACTTTTCTCAAGAAGACATTAAAAAAAACGTAGGAAGATATAGGTGGATGAGGCCTATTGATCATTCAGTCAAATCGGATCCAACATATCAACACGCCACATGGCAATAATATTTAAAAGTCAAAAAGAGATAATGTATGCAGCTCTTATATTGGCTATTTAGGTCGTTCTGTCTCAAAACATTGAGATTACACAACATGCAGGGTTAAGAGTCACTTGGTCAAAAGACACAAGCTGAAATTTCAATACCCATATTTGGACCAGCTTTTACTGCAGCCATTATACGATAAATTTACTCAGAAACAACCAAAACCTCGCAAAACAGAACTGTAATGTACCCAAAAACATGACAATTACCTTATTACTGAACTATTTAACAGACAGTGCTTTCAAAAAATATCAACAGTTGTGACATTCAGCCCAAAGAATATAACACAAACCACCTGTCATGACACTTGAGATGGACTCAATGGCCCCAGCCCAGCTAACTATTTTGCACTGGATTCATGAAACTTTTGTACGACATGGAAAGTGGAGATTTGAGCGTAAATGATGTATCAGCTGTGGCAGGTGAAATCAAGTGCCAGCCCACCAGCATCTCATTTACATATCAATTACATAAAACACTCGCTAATTCATGCTAATAAAACACTGTATATAGCAGCTCATGAGCCAATGGCTGTGCTCGTAAGCAGAGTAAGCGCACTGCTCCCCCTTCCAGCCAAACCTTAAGTTAAAATTATGGTAATTGGAAAGAATATAATGTGAAATAAACAACATTTCTTAGCTTTTTTAAGATGATAGAATGATGTGATTAATGTATTTGTCCATTTATATTCTTATTTTTAGTGTTGTAGATGATATTGATGATAGTTTTGGTTACTGGAAATCAGGCATTTTTTCAGGTTCGTAAACTATTATTCTCAAATTTGTATGCACTTCTACCAGACCAAAGTTGGACCGTACAGATACACCAAAGATGAAACTGATGAATAACAAAATTTGTGAGTAAAATTTGCTTCCACTCATTTTATGATCAGATTTGACGTTTGCATCTTTTTTTTTCAACAAAAAAAGGGTCACTGTCCATATAAAAGTACAGAAGTGCACACAAAGTTTTTCATAAGAGTTGCGCGAGTTTGTGCTGCCAGAACTTTGAAGTATATTATTTCATGTCAGCTCTCGGTGACTGTCAAAGAAACTGGTGCATTTCATCACTTAGCGTGGCCAAGACCTGCCTGCTATAACAGGAATGGTCATTTGCCTGTAGGCAAACCAACGACAGACCATTGTTTTAGTGTGATGCAGAGTGGTAGGCAATTTACAGTACCTTGAAGTCTGCTACAGGCTGCATTGGATGGGCATTGATGAGTAATTTATATTTGCCAAGGCGTCGAATTAGCAGCTCCTCATAGGTGAGTTCAAAGGTCACTTTACTGAAAGCAGCCACCGTCACTGAGGTTTTAAACTCCTCCAGGGTCCTTCCTACTGAGCTGGAACACAAGGACATAATGGTTGTCAGTTTTGATACCTATAATTACAAATTAATTATACTAACTGTTTGGTAAAAATTAAATTACCACCTGAGCTCTGAATAATTTGGGAGTTGATTCTGAGATCAGTGAAACCTCTCATGAATGATTTTCAAATGCAGTTGGGCGCAATGCTAGAATTAGCCGTGTTTGTCTGTATGATGGTACCTGACCATTCCAGCACTTTCTCCCCGAGATACTGCCTGGCTGTACTGCTGCTGAGCCTCTTCTTTCTGCTTCACAACTCCATCGTACGTCTTCCCCTCTATGGTCCTGAGAGACAGACAGTTTATAGACACTGTAATTGTAGGACATAACCTTAATTGTTAGATGATTTTAAATAAAACTGATGAATAAGAATAATGCTTAATCTGTTAAACATATTGACTCACATCCTGAATTTGCTGATGAAAGCATTCTTGGGTATCTTGACCTGGAAATGGACTTCTTTGGACTCGTTAAGTCGATTTGCCACACGGCTCGTGATGACTGTGATGGCATAGCGGCTGGTTACCGTGGAGTTTATGTGGAAGCTGTAGATGTCAATATCTCGCTCCTGCAGTGGGGAAAACAGTAAATGGTAAACAGTAACGATGATGTCTGTTGTCAACTACTATAACTGAAGTTCCTTGTTTTGTCTAACATACTTGGCCAATAAAGGCTGATTGTGATGTAGGCAAATAATATTACATTCTGTGCTCTGTGTACACCTAAATTAATCTTCCAGTAATGATCACTTGCACATCTATATTATTGATTATTGTTGTCCAGTTACTCAAAAAAACAATCACCAAAACACCACATGCAGACAATATCACATTCAGCCCTAATGGTTTAGAACTGCCAACCTCACCGTTTTTATGTTTTGACTATTTTTGTTCTAAAATACTACAATATTGAACAAAAACTGGAAATGATGGGTTTTCACAGAATTTCTGTGATTCTCAGTAACATAAAATTGGCCTGAGATAATGGTAATGTTTACAGCTTGGCTCAGGTCCCATTTCTTGCCTCACCCAGAAACATGGAGAAACAGTTCAAACAAATCTATCGGAGTGGACCTTCACCTCTGAGTTGGTCAGCTGTTTGGTTGACTTTGTATAAGTATATATTGGATAATTCCATTCCACTCCAAAATTTCATCTTATAATTACAGTATGTATAATAATGTAGGATTACAATAATGAATTAATTGATGTATGCAGTGTCAGCACAGATGGGGAAATTTGTTATTAATTTCAGTACATTTGTTGACAACCAACCAGAAGTTTTTTGTAATGCGTAAGAAACTGAAAGAGAGACTAGATAACCCAGAGGAAAATCCTATTGCTCTGATGTTGCTCTTTTGTAGCTCAAGACACTTTATTGTGATTCTTCTAAAATTCCTCAGGAGAAATAGGAGACATGAGATACTCCTCACCCAAATAAACATTGTACTAGTTATTCACGGCATCAAAACTAAGACGACTGTTTTTAATTCGGTAGCAAGTGTTATCTCTAAACTAGTATTAACACCTTGTGCTAAGTGAAATTAGTACAGTGGCGGCAGTTATGGTGCAAGCACTGATTTAACTAGCTGGCTAACATCTCAACACACCAAAAGACAGAACAGAACAGGTTTTCTAGCTAACTGATGATCCACTGACACAAGAAGACTAAATTTGGAGAGAGTGAACCTGTACTGCTGCCTGTGCTAATACTAGCATCTAGTACTAACTAGGACAGTAGAGTGGAGCTGGCTATGGTGCAATCTCTAGCTTTGGGTTCACTACACGACTTTTAAAGTCTGAAGAGATTATAAAAGACTGGGCGTCTCGCACTGTCCGACTGGTATTTGCAGATTTTTTTGGGCGACTGAAATATTGGGGACCACACACTAAATGATTACGGATCACACACTACTCAACTTTTAAGCTGTTGCCTAACTGAGCGGAGCTCACTGAACTCACACGAACTCACGTTCTCTCGCTACTGGAAGACGCAAATAAACAAACGTGCAGTGGCTGCTGCTGTTTTCTCTGCCGTTTACGCGGAAACAGTAAAGAAGCAGCAGGTAAACATGTTTAAGTGGATCACGGATTTAAAAATGTGATCAATTGGTATTTTTAGAGTTAATTGTACATAAACTCAATTGTGATTTACACTCAGCTCATTAAAAACCTTAGCTCCATACATAAGAGACATTTAGCCATTTTTCTTTGTTTACTAGCTTTATGTCCTTCTTTTGTGCTCTCGGTTTTCATTGGCTGTTGCAGGAATCTGTTCAGATTGAGTCGTTGACCAGTTTACACTACGTTACACTCAAAAGTCAAACGTTTGATAAACTCCAACTGGTCTGAAATGCGATGGGGAGGCTGTAAATCTGAGTCTGTGCCCCTCAAACACGACTCGATTCTCCAGCTGTCGTCTCCGACTGATCCAAAAATCTGCAGACTAGAGCCGAACAGCTCAGACTCGGCCAGACTGAGAATCAGGGTAAAAGTCGTGTAGTGTAACCCAACAGGGCATTCAACACTGTATGGTACTCAGGGCTTAATTTGCAGGCAGTGGAGAGGGGGGTGGGGACATCAGATGCACAGTTGAGTGTGAGTTTTCTCCATAACATTGGATCTCACAACTAACATGTTAACGAGGCTCTTAATCGACTGTTCTTTCATGTGCGGGTTTCCCGAAACTAAACATCAGCTTCTAGTGCTTAAGCAGCGTCACAGGCTTGTGATGACGGTATCATTGGCCCAACAGACCCAGGCCCAAATTTCACTAACAAATAAACCAAAACCACAAATAAAGTGAAGACAAAAATATGTGTCTAACTTCCAATTCGACTAGTGATCACAGCTATAAAGCATTTTCCAAAGGGTTTAGACAAAAGCTTGTCATAGATTGAAAGGAAGGGGAAAAAACTACATCACTGCCTTGTATTGGACTGGAAGCATGAACATAGTTTATTCAAAGCACAAAAGGAACCAAGCAAACCATTATAATGTTACATACAAACAGTTATCAAGCTCTAAACATGCCTCATCAAATCTGAGGACGTGTCAGAATATTAGAAAAAAAGTGAGCTTGTTGTTATTTATCGCTTCTTTATACACAGCGAGTTGTTTTATATTAATAGGTTTTGTGTATCTGAGTATTAGTTTTTTTTCCAGTCCATTTGTGAATTTGTCATGCCCATCCAAAATGTCAGTACTCACAGCACCGCTGCTCATAAGTCAGCGGTTTAGCTCAGCATTATTAAGGTCTTTTACGGGATGAACAATCACAGCAGTGCTGAGTCTTAAACAGCATCAGTGAATTGATTGTAGAAAATGGTGTGATTTTTCTTGGTAAATTTCTAGGGGTTGTTGTATGAATGTATTTAATATGTTAACAAGGTACCAAATTCACTGCAACAGGTTCTGGCTTATTCCAGCACAAACTAAAAACCTTGCTGGTACTGATTATTATAAATAAAATTAATTCATTTATTTTCTAGCTGGATCGTTCATATTTTAAAAAGCAGTCCAAAAGGAGTTTAACATTTAAAAGTGTGTTTTTGAGTGCAAGGGTCCTTAAAGGTTTTGAAAAAAAGGCATCAACCAAATATTTAAACATTTTGTTGTTTTTTTAAAACTTGTTTTCAAAACACTAATTGCAGTAAAGGAAAAAAACAAAGCACTGACCCCCTAACCTTCACAGACTCACTGACACATCCAGACATTCATTTCTTACTTACGTAACTACACAATAACTGTCATACTGCTGTGTTTTCCACATAATTAATGATAAGCTGTAGGACGTGGACGTTCAAAGCGGCTTAAGGGAACTGAAGGGTTTGTACTGTTGGCAGTTTGTGGCAGCTAAGAGGACTACACTTAACTAGGACTACACACTCTAATCACTCTAATCTTTATTTAATGAACACATGGACTTTAACTCTGCTTATTATTGCTGCTTGGGAAAGAATTCTTGGCATGTTTTCCAAACTCAGAGTACAGACACACACGCCAATATTAGCACTGCTGATCAGCTTGTAAGATAAATAAAATAGAAATCGTTTACAAAATTGTAGGAAAGTTTTATAGTGATATGTATGCAAACATGTTTTACTTGAAGTTATTCAACTACGTAGGAATCCTGTGGATTTTTGGAAATATCCATGCTCTGACGCTCATTACCGTAATGTTTAGTATATTCAGATTATTATTATTATATTGACTGACTGTTGTTGAAGGTCAACAGTCAGTCAGTGTTTTTATTTTAGCTTCTGCCACTATTCCAAAATACATCTGTGAATTTAATGTCTGTCAATCAATTTCATAAATGTAAATAACCAATACAATTATCTACTTTATATCTAGCTATTGTATTTGACATATTACTTATTCTGATTATACCTTCTTATCTGCTTATATTTTTAATTAACCTCTTCAACTCCTTGAGACCACCGGTGGTTCCAAAACACTCTTCGTCATATTTTTCATAACTTTCATATTTCATAAGCTACATTCAAAAGGTGGGGGTCATATAAGAGCTGTAACTGTCTTCTTTCCAGTCAAATAGATGGGTAACGTAATTTTAAACTCTTAGAAGAAGCTGAACTCTTTAAAGTTCAGCTACTGACTACTGAAAGTCGACCCATTTTTCCACAAATCTGGGCTATAAACTATAAACAGATGGCGTCTCTTCAGTGATCTGCTCTGTAAAAATTATTTTTATAAAAAAATACAAAGAGCGTCTAAGATCTTTGGCTTTCAGCAGTAAATTGTAAGCATATAGCAATATGCGTATGATCATAAAACACGTTCTGTTAATTTGTGGGGAACTTTTACCAATGAAATTAGTTTACATTTATTTCATGCAGTTACTGAATAATTTGCCTTACGATTTGGTCATGTAAATTCAGTTGGACAAACCAAAATATACCCTGAAGAATAAGAGGTTAATATAATCAAAGTATTTTCCCCCATAACGCTGTTATCAGATGAACTAGGACACTTTTGGCTCTCTTGTCTGTGAAATGTTGAGCTGCTGGCGAGCAATGAGGGGTAAAAGAAGAGGGGTGAGAACAATTCACACCTCTCCACAAACTCTGCTGTGCTGAGATAAAATGGACAACTGCAGCTTTCTTCATATCAAACAATCCTGCACCACTTACAATAAGAACTGCCATTTAAACACAATAAAAACACTTTGTTATTGAAGAAGAGGAAAAATAATGGCTACTGTGAAAAGGGGTTAAGACAATATGCATCCCATAGATCCTTAGTTTTGAGGTTGCGTAATGTCTGAAGATATCTTTCTTCTCTTTCTTCTCTTTTTTTTTGCTATTAGAGGTATTAAATGTAAAGATGTCCTGGCATATTTAAATGGATCATGTATCTGCTAAAAGAAGCTCAATAAACTTCAGATCTTTTGTTTTTGTGCTCTGGTTACTCCGCTGTTTTAGATGCACCGTAAATCGACATTATCCACAATCTGGAGTCGTGAGTAGCTGTTTTTGTCTAAACACTAGAACGCGATGTGAGCGCACAGCTATTCCCGAATGAAATGCCGCCAAATCCAAGTTTTTCTCGTGACCTGTTGAAAATGAAACTGTCACGCAAGCGTTCTGCTTTACCGGCCCAGTTGCTCTGACTGGGCCGCCATTAACAGAAACATTCAAAACCAAGCGAAAGGAGCTGCTGCTGCGCAGATGTTACAGCAGTGTGAATTAATATATTGTCGGCACTATAAAATTATTATTTCACAAAAATAGTCCACAAAAAGAATATAGATATACTTATCTTTTGGATGTACCATCATGCACACGTCAAAGGTTTTACAGCATATTAAAGTTACCACATCACAAGATTATAAGTACATTTTAAACACAATAAAATGGTCATTTAGCCAGCAAAAAATCTACACCAGTCCGTGTCACATTATGCACATACTACAAATAAAGTCATTTTACTGCAATATTAATTGGCAGTCTAGCATAGCTTAATTTGTTCAGCTGTATTGTCTTGCTGAAAACACAAAAATCGTGACCAGGGCTGCCCGAGTTGTGGCTCCGCAGTCTAAATTTGGCCGTGGGGACATTTAATCTGACCTCTCAAACACTTACCCCAACCTCACCTCCAACCCAAAGAGAAAACAAATGTTTTTTTTATATACTATAGATAACATGAAATTCATATTTCTCCTTTTAAAGTTGTATTTTTAAGTATTATAGTGTCAAATATATAGTTATTACTTTTAAAACATGCTTTTTAAAATGTATATATTGTTTTGCTTTTTTGGCCTGAAAACTGATGACCGGGAGTAGAAGATGGCAAACCGATAAAGTCAAACACGCTGAGAAGAATGTGCAAGAATTATGTAGTGTCAGAGCTTATCCATGCTTTTTCAACCAATCCAGTTTAAATAGACATTAATACATGCTACATTTGTGTTACGCTGTTGTGCGGTTCAAATAGTAATTTTTTCATGTATTGAGGTCTTAAAAATGTATTAAAAGGTATTGAATTTTTGTGTACTTCTGATCTACGTGTCGCATGATTCTTAGCTTATATGAATCAGATCTACATCATACATACTGGTTCCAAGCATCAAATTACTACTTGTTTCCTTGAACATTTAGAAAGATTTCTCTTATTAACAGCATATAAGTCTGTAGAGCACTGGCAGCACTAAGAATGTACAGAAATATACATGAAAGAGCCTTAACACCTAAGTCAGGGCAAATAAATGTGACGCATCTCAGAATATCTGATGTAAAACAAACAATTCAACCAAGATTTTAAGGAGATTTTTGTATTGCAATAAGCATAACCAGTAAAGCATCAGGAAAAACAGGTCTCAGTTCAGTCAAGAGCACATATGTCAGATGATTAGAAACACTTCCACTCTGTATGCAGGTTCATAAAGACCTAAACTGATTAAGCTTGACCTTTTACCTTACCTTCTTAGTTGGGGCAGCGGTAGCACAGACGAGTAAAAGCCCAAATAGAGTTACGCCAACCGAGGCACGATCCATGGTGACCCATGCAGGACTGAAAGCTGCACAAACACATGCAAGCTTTTAAACAAACCCTGCAGACTCTGCTATTGGTCACTACAGATAAACGAAAGACAACACCCTCCCAGTCATCAACCTCTTACGGTAACAGTCGAGTAAACAGGACTGATGAAAGTTCCTGACTAAATAACATGGTAACACTTCAGTGATGCCCTGGTGAAGCCGTATCAACCTAATAGCTGCTAATTAACTGGCTGCTCATTACTACTTTACAGAACATTAACTAGACTAAATTAAGCATTTTTCAGAGCACTTTTATTTGTGCACTGTACATCATTATCCTGTACATTTAGGTGCCTGTTGGGCCTTAACATGCTAATAGCCTGCAAACTAACTTATCAAGGATGTGGAGTGCTCCAAACTTTGGCTTTTAAGTTTGAGCTTTGGTGTTTTTAATGATGATATACATGGCTACCTCCAGATATTCTGATTACTGATATAATGCTAAAGTAGAATACAGTTCTTTACCTTGCAATGTTAAACACTGACCTACATACAGTGCTGTAGTGGTGTCTGGATAAGTGTGTTCTTAAGTCAGGCGTACACTGCGACTGTAATCACGTACGGACAAAGACTACAATTTATTTGATCACGCTGTACAAAATCTCTTAGCATGTTTGACATGATGCAATGTGGGATGCTCATACTGCCAATGAAACGTAGTCCCCTAAAGACAGCTCTGTCTGTGGACAATCAACAATAAAGCTGTCCCATTCAAAACACACTGTGCGTCCGAGTACTGAGCAAACACACAGAGAAACTGCACTGAAGCTAAAAGCAGGCAGTGATGTACATGGGTAGGTCTCTAAGGCCTGTTTCAAAGACAGTTTTTAAAAAATCACCAACACAGGAACATAAGTGCAAAACAATACAATATATACAGTGCAGACAATATAGTGCAACAAATACAAAAGACTTAAAATAAATACAAAAAGGAACACAGGCAGTACACAGTACTGAGAGTATGTGGAATTGTGCAGAGCAGTATGTAACATACTTTATACAACAGTTAGTTCCGGCCATGCAAGCTGATTGGTTGAGAAAGCGTTCTAACCGTGATGTTATTTCGCACTATAACACCATATCACTCTGCTGAGACGCTGTTGCTAAGCAACAACTTTGACAGCTGTAGGAGACGCTTAAGCCATTTGAACGCTTTTACTACTTTATTTTGCCACAAACAGAAAATGGACACTTTTAAGATCACATTTGACTGACAGACGATTTGGTCAGACTCTAAAGATGAGACGCCACTAAATTCCCAAACTGTCATCACCACTGAGCAGCTTTTCAGTCGGCAGCTGTGACAGAAGAAAACCTGAACAACCTGAAATCAGCCGGAAATGAACCCAACACCATTCGCCAAACTAAACGGGCTGTAAGATGCTTTACAGACTGGCTGGAACAAAACAACATTAATATTGATCTGGCAAAAAAGGACAACACTGAGCTAAACTTGATATTGCGGCAGTTTTATGTCTCAGTCTGATTTGGTCAGACCCTGAAGATCAGACTACACGTTCGGCGAATGGTATTGGGTTCATTTCTGGCCGATTCCAGGTTGTTTAGCTGTTCTTCTGTCACAGCTGCCGACTGAAAAGCTGCTCAGTGGTGATGACAGTTTGGGAATTTAGTGTAAGGAGCTGGAGAACGAACTGCCGGCTGTGCAGCGAGTGGGCGGAGTTCGTTACTCTGACGTAGCAACAAGCTGCTCGTTAAGGAACTATAATTTGGTGAAGGAACTGGAAACATTAAAACATATTAAACGCCGCGTTCACGGCCCAGTTTATTAATTTATTACTTTATTTATTCAACTGTTGTATTAAAGCAATAGAACACTCAAGGTTGTGTGTTTTTGCGACTAACGCTCCCTCTCCTGTTCTATTGTTTAAATGACATTTTAGCAGATAGCCTAGCATATAGGAGCATAGCAGTCGCTGAGGTAGCAACCAGAACAGCAGCAAAGTATTTGGTTGATACAGTAAATCTAGTAGCCAATTTTGTTAAGAAATAAAATGTTTTAAAACACAAGTAGTCAGATATGAATTATATTAAGTGAAGTATTTTGGTCTGAAATGCAATAGTCATGTTTAAATACAGTGTCACAAACATAATTTCAAGAAGTGAGGAGTGAGATGGAGTCATGATGTTATGTATATGTGTCTGTGTGGGTGTCCTCAATTCAGTTTGTGGGTGTTGGGGAATCTGATGGCTTGTGGAAAGAAACTGATTTGTTTGATTTGTGTTTGTGTGGTTTGTACAAGCAAAACTTTAATGTGTTACAGTTTTGTTAAAACATTACGTAATGAGTCCCTGAACAGTGATTTTCAGGATCTGAATGCAAGGACCTCAAACGGTTAATTGAGTGCTTGATTATCCCTGCATATCTCAACAACTCAAGTTTAGACTCTCTCAATATTTAGTTCATTAGTATGTGAAGCGTTGAAATTGTGATTTTTGATGGTTGTTTTTAAACGTGGTCATGCTAGTGCATTGTATCTGTGTCAGATATTGCCATACTTATTGTGTATCACTGTGTATCGTAAGTATAGTGATATATTGTTGCCATATTGATTTCACCCCATTTCATGTTTGAGTGTAGCAAAACAAAGTTTTTATTTAGTGTTGTATGTTAACTGTTTTGAGAATACAACTTCTGAAAGAACCACCCAGTTTGTTTAGGAAGGAAAATGTTTTTGATACATAAAAAATTTGACCAGAGATTCTCAGCCAAGTCATCTCAGCAAATTCATATTTATCCACTTTTGCACCTGCCATTCATTGAATTGTGTAACTGCCATCTTTTATTTATTACCTAATTCAACTGTAGTAGAGCTGAAATGAAATAAAAGTGTGGAGCGGCTGGATTGGTAAACAATTTTAATGTTTATTTTTGGAGTCATTCATTCCTATACATTTTATGAACATAATCATAAATTAATAAAATCACATATGCTGGTGTTTATCTCTAATTTATTGAGCAAATATTTGAATATTGTGTTGCAGCGGTCATCACCAAAAAGAGCACTCCAGTGTCCATTCAGCCGACTCAAACCGCTTCATTCTGTGGAGCAGTTTTTCATTTTTACCACTTGAAAACAGAGTTTGGATCCGTTCCTTAAATACTGCACCATTTTCAGAACTTTGGAAGACAGAGAGCTACAGCTACACCAGTATGAAATTAGAGAGCCTCCCTGGCAGGACAGACTCGTATGGTACAAGCCAGCATCCAAGAACAGGGGCTGAAGAGCGTCGATAGTCGGTGGCAGTGCTCCTACAACACAGAACACGTTTAGCTTACAAACAGCAGCAATAAATTCTACAGATTAACTATTACATCTTTGTTTATTGTATTTACCAGGTTGCTTTCACTTGTTCATGCCCGATTTTGATCACTGATCCTGGTAATTCTTCGTACTGAAGATTGGCTTTTCCTTCGTAGACCAGAGATAGATAGAGGTTACTAGTGTTGCTGAAGCAGTAATAAGTAGTAAAGTAGTAGTAAGTAGTAAAGCCACTTTCAAGCAGTCTTTCTGTACATCAGGCTTGCTGACTGCGAGACATAAAAACAGTGATGTCATCTGAAATCTCAGAGTGTGCAGTGGTCACTGTTCAGCAGTGATTTTTACAAAGGTTTTTCTCAAATCTACTGACATACCAACATTATTTTTGTTTAAAAATTATTAATATAGACTATATGCCATGGAAGGAACACCAAACACAAAAGACCAAAAAATAACTGTAAGGGGACGTAAGCTGAGAAATGAAAGAAAGGAGAATGTTAATTTCCAGACTGTAAACTACATTAGGCTACATTTCTGTATCCCAGCCTTATACCTCAAAAATTCTCAAATAAAATTGATTTTATACAGATTAATCGTATGGGTAGACACGTACGTGTTTACAGAAGATATTGTGAGTGGTGTGGCCTTCAATACTTCTAATTACTGCACATGTGATTTTCCACTGAACCATTCCTTTATCACTTTATAGAGTCATGATTGTTTTTGGGAAAGTCTTGTCATCATTTGACATCAACAACACTTCATAGGACTTTGTAGAATTTCATAGGTTTAAGAATCTATATTTTTTTATTATCATTTCATTCATGTGAAACTTACCAAAAATGCCTTGTATGTTGGCGTTTGGTTGCAGCTTAACATCAGGCCACAGAAAGAATTCACCATTTTTCTTATGACGCAGGAAGACAACACGTATGGTTCCCATGGTGATGTCCATTTCATTGTCTTTTAGAATCAAAGACACACTGTGAATGTGAATAAATGGTTAGCATGACCTGTTCCACCATGTGTGATGTACAGTGCAAAGCATGTTCCTGTTTCCAGTTCAACAGTTTGTACCTGTCTGTGTGACGCTCGGTGGGTTCCTGCTCCCACAAAAATGTCAGATCATTCAGACCATCATAGTAACGGATGTTCTTGGTGCTGAGCTTAAGGTGATAATTAGCTTTGAAATCAAAAACAGTTTCTTGAAAGCCATGCCCTAAGAGCTTGCCCTTCATAAAATAATCTGTGAAGAGGAACCAAACAGAACAGTAACGTTATTACAGACATCATTAAACCTGAATTCTAAATAACAGAAACTCAAAAAACAGTCTGAGTCAGCAGAGTGAAGGAACGTGTGTTACAAACTGCAGCACCTGAGGACGAATCTGTCAGCAAGCGGTAGTTAAGGGGTGCAGGTTGGTCATAACAGAGTGGCTTTTGCTGACCAGTGGAAGAGATCAAGAATCTCACTGAGAAAAGAGACAAGAAGAGGATAAGGATCTTTGCATTTTGTTAGGTAATTAAAACCATATGACTAACTTTGATAAGAACTGAAATCTACCATGAGTTCCAATATAAAAAGGATCTGCTAAACGTGGAGCTGATGGGAACAAAAAGAAAAGAACACAAATCAGTTAATTCAGCATTTGTGGATATAAGGAATCAAAAACATGTATTCACATTCTTGTGATAATACCAAGTTTGAGACAAACTACACACTGCGGCCATTTTTCATACAGTTGTTGTCACAATATTGAAGTAGGTTATAGTACAAAAAAGAAAAAATAACAAACCTGGCCGGGGAGGAGGAGGAGGAGGAACGAACAGCGTAGGTCCAGATGTCCCTGATGAGTCATGGTTTTCGGCTGTTGGGACAGGAGAACACATACTGAGTTTCTAGCCCTGCTGCTCATAGCTGATTTAAAGCGTTAGCTGTATAATGTTTAGTGAAACTGAAAAGTATTATTATTATAAATACTACTGTGAAGTATTTATAAAAGAAAGAAACAGAAATCTGTCTTCATTTGGGATAGTAAGAACAGTGGATAATAACAGGGTAACACACTATTAATGCTGTTTTTATAATTGATTTTTGTAGTATAATTATATATTTTATGGGTAATATTCAGTTCAATCTTCAGTTCAGAATATTCAGTTCTTACATCATAATATCTGAACAAACAAATAAATCGCAGTAATTTATCCATATTCCCAGATGGTAATACATGTACTACGTAGTACCTTTCTCACACCCAAGTTCAGCACCAGAAGAGTCTAGTGCCAGGAGGGAGTGATGGCAGGGGAGTAGGGGTGAAATTTAGGGAGGTGAAAGTTGGTTTTCTAGGCCTGGAAAAGTTATGGAAAATAATGCGTGTTGGAAAAGGCGCAGAATTTTTCTGGACCTTTCCTGCATGCATTTCATCATCTAATCACAAATGAAACACTGGCCTCTTTTCCACTCTAGAGTTGAACGGTTCTGAGTACAGAGAGTAGCCGTTCCAGTTTATTTGCACATGGAAAACGATCAGATCAGTTCAATAAATGCCAAGGGTTAAACAGTGCTGCTAACTAGGAGAGAGTAGCTGGTTAGCATTAGTTTATCTAGCGTGGTACCAGCTCTTCGCACTAAAGATCAGGTTAGATTCTAGCTAAGTGAAGCTAGTGAAGTTTAGGTGTGTATAACGATTTTCTGCAGGGGTGAGATGAAATCTTGTGGGAGCGGGCAGGGGCATATATTAATAGGTCCATTTTATTCTGTTTATTTTGGTTTTGTTGATATTCAAAACTCAGCTTCCAGTTACTTCAGATGGAGGCATCGCATTTGGCTGGTCCCGACAATAATTTTCAAGTCCACCTTACCTCGAAGCAGAGACAAGGCCGAGTCCAAATGATGTCGAGACAAGACTGCTAGTTTAGTCAAGACCGAATGATTTCTTTTCGGATTGTCATTTAACTACCTGTCTGACTCTGGTGTATATTATGAGAAAGTCTTCTTACCTCCATTTACTCTTTCCTTCTCTTTAGGCTTTTGGGCAACCTGCACGTCCTGTTCCTGGGGCTTGATAACCACCATAGAGGTCAGTGGGGTCACAAATGTGTATTTCAGAGAGAGATCTATGGCTTCTTTCCTGGCTGCCTCCTTCTCCTGCCCATTAAGTATCTTCCTGAAAGACAGAACAGGCAAAGCTCAAGGTACGTTTTACATCTCACAAACAAACATGCACAGAGTACAGAACAGTGCAGGTCTCTTCACTCAACTCTCACTTACTCCTTCATGAGAAGCTGTTTCACTGTAAGAAAGCCCCACAGTCTCCTGATATATGTGTCTTGTAGCAGAACACCAGTGCTTTTCTTAGTTGAGTGCTTGTAGGTCACTTTACTGCTTTTCTGCAAAGAACCAATAACAATAAATAGGTGAGGTACAGCCAGCACAGCCTTGGATTGACTCAGAGAAACAAATACCCACAATATCCCACATCCCACACATCACTGAACGCGAATGTATGAGTCAAGGAGTGTGTTTACATGCACGTAATAATCCGATAGCTGCAGAGAATCAGATTTTGTCAGTAATCCGATCAACCTGTGTACATGCACTTGAGTAATCAGATAATGGGGAAACCCTAGGTCTACATGAGTCAGAGAGTAATCAGATTTCTGTTTTACAACCAGCTAATAAAGTCAAAGAAGAAGATGCGTGGATCTTCATGCCGCAGATGTTTAAGTAACAAGCTAATAGACTATGTGGAGAGTGTTTTTTTTTCCCCTCCATTTGATTTTGAGCTAAAGAGAATGCAGCTTTTTTGGAGGACGGATGGTCCGCCCTCATTGTGGGCTTTTACATGTTTAATACAATTCATGCATTATATGCAGTGTCAAATTAATACATTATTTTCTTTAGTCTTTTCAATGTATTGTTTAATGCTTGTGGATATTGAATCAAGAGCTTTATCTCAAACTATATGCAATGCACTTTATTGTTACATCCCTACACACAGGCTAGATAAACTGCCTGTCTATCTAATTTGCTCTAAGACAGCAACCTGAATTAGTCAACAGCAGTCAGCTCAGTCTCAATATTTAATATACAGCACACTTAAGAAATGGAGATGGTCTTACTGAGGTTCCAGTGGTCTCTGTTTCTAAAGTGTTTGTGAGTTGTCCAGCTACCACGATCTCTGAGCCTTTGTAGTATTGGCTGAACCTGGTCTGGGTGAGATTCACTGCTCCAGTATAGTTCAGCTTGACGTTAGTTAACAGAGGAGTGGCCACTTCCTTATAGAAACCCTGCAAAATGCGACAACAGTGCTGAAACAATGACACTATTAGAAAACATTTAACTACAACCCCAATTCCAAAAAAGTTGGAACAATGTATGGAATGCCAATCAAAACAGAAAGCTGTGATTAGTAGATTCTGTCTGACCTTGTATTAAATTGAAAGAAGTACCTGTTGAACTAAATTATTTTTTGTTAATATATGCTTATTCTAAATTTTATGCCTGCAACACTTTCCAAATAAATTGGGACGGGAGCAGGATTACCATTTTGTTACATCACCTTTTCATTTAACAGCACTTAATAATTGTTTGGACACTGAAGACACTGAAAGCTGTGTCTGAAAAAACATTGTTCTGTATATAAGTCTACAGCTGTGCCAACATACAGGGCCTTTGTTGTTGTATGTTGAGCTTAATAAGACAGGTGTTCAATGGGAGACAGTTCTGGGCTGCAGACCATGACCATGTTGTAACACAGGCAGAATGTGGCTTGGGCATCATGTAGACATAAACATGGACATCTTTATTGACTGCAGTTTGTCAAAGTATTCCTGAACTCATGAGGTGGTATCGATCATAGAAACATGCCGGTTTTTAATGCAGTGCCATCTGGGAGATCGAAGGTCACAGACATTCATTTGTGGTTTTCTGCCTTTTCCTTTATGCACTGTAAAGGGTGAATGAACTCCTTGCATCCCCTGTCTGAAGAACATTATTTTTAAACTGGATTTTTGCTGATATATTTTTGGCAAAGTGGTGAGCCTCGACCCATCCTGACTCATAAAGGACTCAGCCTTTTCTGGATGCTCCTTTTGTATGCAACCATGATTGCATCACCGGTTTAGGATGTTTTTTGAACATTTCACAATGTTTCCAGTCTTAAATTACTCCCATCCCAACTTTTTTGGAATGTGTTGCCAACATCAATTTCAGAATGAGTGTATATTTGCAATAGGATTTTTTTGGAATTGGGTTTGTACAAATAAGTGGCACATTCTGTCTCACCTGTAGCTGTAAGTACGCATCTGAACCCTCATAGATCCTGCGAGCGAATCCATTATTTTCCAGAGCCATTTTCTCCAGGAAATCAAGCTTGACATCAAATCCAAAGCCAAGACAATAGAAAGGAAACTTTCCCCCAATGGCCTCTTTCACATTGGCCTGAATTCTTGTTGTGTCAGTCTCACCTGATGGGGAAGAAGTTTGTTTTCCTGAGTTAAAGGCATCAGAGTGAGAGAGCTGGACTTGGAGAACCAAATTACTCAAAATAATTTTATTAAATAATTGAATAATAAAATTTTTCAATTATAAGCATATTTCAGTTATAAGCAACTACACCCCACTATTTTCAGCGAACTCCACCACCAGCTCAACATTTAAAAATGCTCAAAAATGGGAGGTGCATGATGGGAGGGGCACTGCAGTGATGTTAGGGTTTGTAGGTGGGGCTGCGAAGGAAACTGGGTTGGCTGAGCTGCTGTGTTTTTAGAGCTAGCGTACGTTAGCTACCAGAAAATATGGAGAGAGACAGAATCAAACGGCACTTTTGCAGCTGAGAGTCTTACGAGGCTAAAGATTTTTCTCTACTATTCCCATCTTCGACGAGGGAAGCCGCTGACTCAAACCGCCGAAGAGTTCCCCGTCAAATTCACATTCTCCTTCATAAATCGAACTCTCAGGCGCTGCACTTACCGAACAGAAATCAGCAGCAAGCAACACTGGAACTACGGAAAGTGAAAAGGAAATTTCAGGAAAGGCTGTATGGACGAAGGGTTGACACCGTCAGTAACAATGGCAGCTTAACATTAACCTTTCCTGAACCGTTTCGCTTTCCATAGTTCCTGTGTTGCTTGCCACTAATAGCTGTTCAGTGAGTCGTGCCCGAGGGTTGGATTTGTGAATCGGATGCAACACCGGCAGCTTTATGGAGACTCCTTCAGATTACCTTATCATACCTTACCTTATCATACGTTTAACATTATTAATAAATGTGCTAATCATAACATCTTTATTTCGAACTAAGCTTAGATTAATTGAGTTTTTTACAGTTGGTACAGACAGCTGGCGTATCACAGCCTTGTGAGAAGGTGGTTTAGCTCAGCGTGTGAGTGTGGTTCTCTCTTCACTCTCGGCTCCTATGCTTTCATATTTGAGTGCGGCACGAGGAGGGCGTCGGCAGGAGGTGGTAACATTGGTTGACTTCGGTACAAAGACACGTCATCCACGCCTAGTGTGGAGTTGAACCACGGGGGCGCTGCAGAGGCGGAACTGACCATGATAAAAATGATATTTTTACAGTTTGGAAAAAGGAAGGCTGGTATATTTTATTATTACAGAGCAGAGCATTTCAGCTGCTAATGAATAAAAGGTTTTAGGGTGAAGTTACTCTTTAATATAAGTCAAACATTATGCAAATAAATAGAGGGGCATTTGTTCACCCCACTCCTCCAAACAGCATTTGGAAATTCTAACTGTTGGTATGAAATGTAAAATAAATGAAATGCAGCGCTGTGAAAAAAAGTTCTTGAAAAACACAATGATTCGTTTGGTTTCACTGAACATTCAAAAATAAAATTACACTTTGGTCATTTAGGTCACTGGTACTGGGAAAGCAGCAGTTGATTTGGTGTCATGACTGCTAGTGGTTATCCACCATTTCAGGCAGTGTGTGTGTGTGAGAGAGTGTGTTTGTGTGTGAATGTGTGTGTAGGTGTGGGATTTGCCTGTATTGGGCATTCCATCAGTCAGCAGGATGAGGATGGAGGCAGACCGATCTTGTGAGTGTTTGTTGAGCATCTCCACTCCCCTCAGCACTGCAGCGTTGATGTCTGTGTCTGATGAGGAGAGGACAGTGATTAAAATTTCAAATAACCAAAACCCTACATTGTCCTTTAACCATATTTCTGCTTTCTTCTGGACAGAGGTTTATGTAGGTTGACAGACCTGTCGTGTATTGCTAAGACCTAACACTTTCAAACAGCTGAAGTATGAACATGTGAAAATGCTAATAATAATAAAAAAATAATAATAGGGATTCCAAACACATGAACCATGTTCAAAAGACAGGAACCACAGTTTTTAATAACAAAACTGATTCCATTGCAGAAAAATGTATAAAATGATTCTTGGATCTGATTAGTGACACCAGGGGAATGTAAAGCAACTCTACATTTTCCAAGCATTTTTATTCACTGTTTTTTCTTGCACAGGAATCACATCTTCTCTGCAGTTTCCCTGCAGCTGTATGTTCTGGCTTCTTGCTTCTTCTTATTCTCCTATATACTTAGCCACAATTAAAATTAGTAATTTCTGATTCAAACATGTGAACTGTCTCACCTCCTTGATCTAGAATCTGTCTCACAAAGCTCCTTGCTGACTCCAGATTCGTCTTTGTGGCTTGAACAAGTTCAGGTTTCCAGACGTCTACTCGATTGTTAAAAGTGATCAGCCCAAAGTGGTCGTCCACAGCAAAATCATCTAAAATCTTCAGCAGTGCCCATCGGGTCTGGAATAAAAAGCTTCATCAGCATATCTGGGTGCTAAATGCAGTGTTTCTGCTCATGATCTTCATGTATTTGCATAACTTCAGCGCAAATTATTCTACAACTGGTTCTATCAGTGTTATGTCTGTGGTTGCTACAGTTACGGGAGCTAATGCAAAAAGATTTACCTGTATAATCTTTCTCCCACTCATGGAGCCACTTTGGTCAATTACAAACACCACATTTATTGGAATGCGCTTAATATCTGTAGGTGCAGAGAAGTGGACGAAAAAGCTGTCTGATGCCTGATGGGGGAAAGGAGACATAGACAACCATTCTGTTAACTACAGCTTTTCAGCAAGAACAAAGTTTGTACTTAAGTGAACTAAAAACTACTTTTAAAATTTCTAATAATTCATTTTTAAGTACTTTTTCCTAATGTGAAAAATAAATCTGTAGATTATATATAAAAGCTGTAAGCTTCCACTTCAGTTATGCCTGTCTGCCTGTATTGTTACATGCAGTACCTTGATTTCTCCAGCGGAGTTTGGTCTCTCGACATCGTAAGTTATGATCAGGTCCGTATTCAGTCCATTTTTTCCACAAATGTTGTCACAGCTTGTCTGTTGCTGACGGGTGGGGTAGAAGTCCACCCATGCCTGCAATTACAAATGAGTAGAGCTCCTCATAGTCCCAATCCCATTTCACCCCTCGCCTCTACCACTTAGCCCTTCATTTTGCATGTTTAGCTCTAGGTGTAGGGTGTTCCAATTTTTGTTGAGATAGAGGGGTAGGGCAACATGGCCCTCCAACGGGGGGATTTCAGAGACGCACTCGAGTGTTAAAGAAAAACTGGCAAGATGGTTGAACAAGTGAGCAAAGAAACCTACAAATATGGGAATTTTCTCTGTTAAAATTACGGTAACCACTGTTTTATCGTAGTTTAATGTCATGTCAATGTATTATGATTCTTTTCTTCATAACAAGCATGAAAAATCGCTAATTGTATGCTGATGTCTCGGTAGCTAGCTGGCTAAATTACCCGTTCCACCTTAAATATTCCAGTAGTTCTGATGCCTCAACAGCAGAATGTAACTGCTGCTTTATTTAAGGTGGAGGTGGAACAGGAAAATTCGAATAAGAAGCTGGCGAATATCTGACTTCAGCTTCATATCACTGAAGAATTAGGGGTGGGCGATAATAAATAATTGCCCCCCTCTTTGAAGTCATATGATGTCCTAAATGTAACTAAAGCCCAGCAGTGAGGAGCTGAACTTTACCCTCCTCTGCTGTCACTGCAGACTGGCAGGGTCGCCTACAGAGCAGCGCTGGTAGCTGTTAATGAAGTGATGCTCTTTTTATTTGAGGGTCCCATTTTATAGGGAAGATTTGAACCACCACCCCTGATAACTCTGTTCCAAGGGGCAAGGAGACACTCGAAAACAAGGAGTAGGGGTAAAAATAGTAAATGGGATTTGGCCTAAGAGCGTTTTGATCTCCTTGCCAAACCCTGCCCAGGTGTCACCCTCCTCTCACTGCCCCCATAAATGCTGCCAAAGTGTCACCCTCCACTCACTCCCCTCCTGAACTCTGCCCACTTTGTCTACCAGTTAATAGTGCTTTGACATCGCCTATTGTCCTCAGTCATCATACACATGTTGTACTACTAATACCAATTTTTTTTAACTGTGTGATCAGTTACAGTAGACTGAACTGCTCTTTACTAAATATTTAAAAGCATTTCTGCACTATTCATCTTAACGGGTGAACAGAGATCATCTAGGATCTAGGATGTTTTGAGGCATAATTTTTCTTGAGGAGTCATTTCTGTAATCTTGCACCAAAGTAAAATTGGAATTATTTTCATCTTTTGCCAGCAAGTGAAACAGGCGAAACCATTAAGAAAAGTAACAGAATTTGAATAGCCTAACTGACCTGTAAGTGATTTACCGACAGAATTTAACACTTATTTTTGTGTCTTTGTGTCTTTGTGAACCTCAAACTGAATTTGGTGGTCAATACAGCAGAACAAAAAGGACAATAAAGTTCTCACCACTTTGTCAGACTTTGTAGTGGTTAAACCGTAGCCAAACTCCAGGTCTGAAGCATCTGTTGCCTCCAGGAAGCAAATTTTTGAACTCTCGTAAATGGCCACATCAATCTAATGGAGAAATAGAAACAGGAGACAAGCGACCAAGAATGAAGATTTTTAATCTAAATAAGAGAATTTTAATCCAATTCTTAAATGGAGTGTGATACAGTAATGCAGCACAGAAGAACTGTCTATTCAGTCTGTCTTCTGCCTTTACCTTGAGGTCTGCTACAGGCTGCATTGGTTGGACGTTGATGAGTAGCTGATATTTGCCAAGGCGTCGAATTAGCAGCTCCTCATAGGTGAGTTCAAAGGTCACTTTACTGGAAGCGCCCACCATCACTGAGGTTTTAAACTCCTCCAGGGTCCTTCCTACTGAGCTGTGGCAAACAATGACAGGGCACATAAATACAGTTGGTAACTGAAATTTAGACTTCATCTCCTTCACTTGCTTCACTGTAAATCGAGTTGAGCCATTAATTTATCTGGTTTGTATGTTTGAAGACGGTACCTGGTTTTTTCGGCACTTTCTCCTCGAGACACTGCCTGACTGTACTGCTGCTGAGCCTCTTCTTTGTCCTGCACAACTCCATCATATGTCTTTCCATCTATGGTGCTGAGAAAGAGACGCTGTTTCAGACAGTACATATGAAGGTGTTTCTCTCTGTGTCAAGGATATAGATTTCCTATTCAGCACAGTCTTATAAAAAGGCTGTGCACCTTCAGTTATGATCAATCAGGGTCTGAATTCTCAGAGATTCTTGAAGTGCAGCATTAGCCCAGGAAGGCTTTGTGGACCTGGCAGACTGTTTATGTCTGGTGGTGTTACTTTCATACTCACATTCTGAATTTGCTGATGAAAGCATTCTTGGGTATCTTGACCTGGAAATGGACTTCTTTGGACTCACTCAGCCTGTTTTCCACACGACTCGTGATGACTGTGATGGCGTAGCGGCTATGTATTGTGGAGTTAATGTGGTAGCTGTAGATATCAACACCTTGTTTCTGTGGTGGAAAAAATAGCATTATTGATTAATTGTTCCATTATGATGATGTATATCATTTACCCTCACACTTTACATACAGAATATTCAGTAAATATATAGTTATCTTGAAAAATCATGTGCATTTCCTTGATCTCAAAACTGCCTATTTTATGAGAGTCACTCTGTGCTCTTTAGAGACATTTCCTTGTTAAAAGAACTGAAAAAGCTCCATAGTTAAAGCATCTTATTATTAAAGTCTGTGTAAAGTAAATTCAAAGTAATTGCTGAAAACATGTGAAAAGACTGGGAACTATGTAGTACTGAATTGTGGAGTTAGACTGTTAAACTGTTTTTCATTATTTTTGTTTCCAAAATTTTTTGGGTGGGCCTGAAATCATGGCTCAGTGACACACTGAAGCCACACTTAGCATGACCCCTCCTCTAACACAGTAATAGTATAAAAACTAGAGCCATACTTGGCACAACCTCCACTAACGCTACAGTGGTATAAATACTAGAGCAGGGGTCGCCAACCTGCGGCTCTTTTACTGCCCTGTTGCGGCTCCACAGCAGAATCAGATTAGTAGGTAAAAATAAAATAATCCTCCTTTACAGTAAAATAAAGCTCTGCTGATCGTTCAACACAGTTTAACAATAAATGGTCTTAAACTCTGGAGTTAACTGTCTTTAACTTTAAAATTGACTTTTGTCACTTGCATCATAATAGGTAAATCCAATCAATACCTCAATCAGTAACAAATTCCAGTTCAGCATTTCAGCTTCTGTAGAACTTTAACTGCTACCACTTTCAGATAGTTAGCCAGAATATTCTGACTGAGAAAGTTGTGCTTGTAGATCTTTCAGTAACAAAAACTGAGTGAGTCAAATCAGCCAAACGGAGTCCTTGTTTGACTCATGGTCATCTTTTCATTGACTACTGCTTTCGTCCTCGCCCTTTGGACTTGTTTTTTGATTGATTTTTTCAGATTTCACAATCAGGCTTCTCAGAGTCCACCACTCCCACCCCCCACCCCTCCTTTAACGTTTACTTGCTGGCATTTTTTTGGATTACCTGATGATTACATCCTCAATAATCTGAAATAAAAATCAACATGGCAGTATGTATTCTTCTTTTTTTGCATCATCAGTTGATGCTATTTAGATACATGAGCTTGGAAAACGAAAAGTGTAACAGTATTGTTGTTACAATATTATTGGTGTATTAAGTTCATTTAGACTACATAATGCCTTTGATGGTCTAATATGCGGTTTTAATAAGCTACAAGTGTTCGGCTCCAACATTACTCTGGCTGCTCTATGGTTGACCCTCTGTTAAATGTACATAGACATCTAACGTTTGTATGTCTGTGCTGTCAAATTGTTGAGTATGTCCAATTTCACCAACTACACATCACTGCTGTCGGAACAAAACCTCATATCTCCAAAATGACAACTTTACAGGAGAAAGAAAAAACATGCATTACTTTCAATGTAAGCCAAAGGAACCAGACCCACCCCCCCCGGGGCATTTTGGGTCATTTCTTTCATTCATCATGAAATTTACACACATTTTTAAATTATGTCAAAAACTGAAAAACGTGACAAAAAACTGAGATACGAGGTTTTGTTCTGACAGCAGTGATATGCTAGCTCTGTAATGAAGAACAGTTACCATACCGCCTGACTTCAAAGAAACTCAAAGTGTTCAAAGGAAAGATGCTAGGGCACTGTGGGACAGGTAGTGTCTGTAATGAGTTCATGGAGACATAATATTTCTTTCATATATAACATTAGCAGATGGCAAGTAGTGAAACACTTTAAAGCTACATCATACAGAATTGTGCCCTGTTTGCACAAACAGTTTATAAAGACCTAAACTGTTCAAACACGGCATCTGAACTCACCTTCTCAGTTGGGGCAGCAGTAGCCCAGATGAATAAGAGCCCAAACAGAGTTACTCCAACTGTAGTTCGATCCATGGTGACCCGTACAAGACTGAGACTGTAAAAACATGCGAGCTTTTAAACAAACCCTGCAAATCTGGGATTGGTCAGGGTTACCACAGACGAAAAGACAGTATCCTTAGTCATCAACCTCTTACAGCAACAGTCGTGTAGGCAAGACTCTGAGTAAAGTTCCTGATAAAATACGGTAAAACTTCAGCAAGTTTTAAACAAACCCTGCAGTCTCTGCTATTCTTCAGAGATAAGATACAGAAAACACCCTTTCAGTCATTAACCTCATCCAGTAACTGATGTTAACAAGAAGTGAAATAAATAAAAATTGTGTGCTGTGATTTAATTTTTGGTTGTTAAATTTGGCCAAAAATATTTTTAAAAGAATAAAATGGTGCCCCTGGCCAAATCACATATTTGAAAAGAAGTAAAAACAGTGTCTCCAACAAAATTATATATATATATATATATTTTTTTTTCTTCTGCAACTGTTAATGCAGTTACTTAATATTTAATTAACTTTACAAAACTCATCAAGCCTTAATTATCTTGTTTGAACTGGTTAGCAAGGTCAAGAATTGTCATCAGGAATTGTCAGCTGATGAATTCTAGACTGTACCAAATTCTTTGACTCTTCAAAACTTGTGCTAGCACTCAATTACCATGTGCTTCCTTAAGCCCTGTTTGCGATTTATTATTATTTCAACCTCAGATTCTTGGCCTTTACTCATTTTCTGTGAAACAGCATATAAAATAACCCATTTTCAGTGTCTTCACTCTGTTCACCCCCCACACATTTATATTACACATTTGGTGTTGGGCTGAACCCGCGGGGGGTTGTGCTGTGTCCTTCACTCTGTTCTCCTACATGGCCTGCTGTTAGTGTGTGTGTGTATATGTGTGTGTGTGAGGGTTGACAACATGGACAGACTGCTGACTGGCTACAGCTGCTAAAGGAGAACCCTACGCTGGACATGTGATATTTTAAACATCTGGTATTTTTACATGAATTGTTATGGCTGTATAGATTTAAAAAACAATAGACCACTGAGTAACAAACACATCAACACGACACAAGAGTTAAGCAGCTGGCTTAGGATCTGAAAATGAAGCTAACTGATATCTGTGAAGCAAGAGATGCTATAAGAAGACTTCAAAGAGCTTCCAGCTTGCATTTCCACTGCTTAAAAAGTCACTGAGAAATGGCATTTAAAGGGAACTATGGAAGACAAGCAGAGATCTTGAAAACCAAGAAAACTCTTCTATTCTGCCAGAAAGGCAAAGCAAAACCCACATATGATAGCAAAGGACCTGCAGGAAAGTTTAGCTGACACAGAAGTGGTGGTGCACCGTTTTACTGTGCAGTGTTGCTTGAATTAACAAGATCTGCATTCAGAGTCAGAGGGAAGCCTTGCCAGTGAGTTCATCACAATGTCCTTTGTCTCTAATGTTTTCATATCAGACCATTTGTGTATATTTTTTCAAATCAACCTGGATCCACAGAGAGCGACAAAATCCTCTAATTACTTTAAATGAACATAGATGGCCTCTAAACTTACTTTCTTGGTTGGGGCAGTGGTGGTACAGATGAGTGAGAAGCCAAACTGAATTATGCTCTCTGTGGCTCGATCCATGATGATCCATGATGATGGCTGAAGCTGAACAAACACATACAACAAACCCTGCAGACTCTGCCTTTGGTCACAACTGCTAAAGACATAACCTTTTTCAGACATCAACTTCTTACAGTTAAAAAAAAACTGGACATGAAGTCTAATGAAATGTCTGTTCCTGACAAAATATGTTATTAAAACACATGGTAATAATCCTTGGTATGTTTTGTTTGCTGTTAAATCTGAATAATTTGGACAGATGTACAACTTCAGTTACATACAGAGTACACATACAGTCTGTTCAGATGTACACGACTTTCCATCTGTCCCTTCCAACAATCAGCAATACTTTTCAAGTGCATCTAGTGAGAAGGCAAACCACCGTACGTCCAGTACGGAGCCCCGGAGGGAACAGAGGTAAAAATAAAAATTAATTTGAGTGAACGTTTTACGGTTTGTACGCACTGTTTCTTTTGTTCATGGTCATAATTTCTTAATTCGATCTATAGATTAGATGTAGATATAAAAATGTGAGGATGTTGAAACGTTCATAATTTCTTCTTGTTTGCTGGGTGAGGAGCTACAGTGTCTTCATAACGCCCCCAAATCAATATCAAAACTAATGAGCATCTCTGTCCATTATCTCATCAATCTAACACATCAAAACCTGTCAGACAGTCTCAGGGAGCTATTAGCTGCTTCTGCACAGGACCAATAACACAACCTGTATCTATTACATTTATTTTGTTTGCGCACAAATCAAAAAAACAAACAGTGCGTTCAACCAAAAAGAAAACATGACCACGATTAAAAGATACGAGAGGATGAATTGTTAATCGTGACCACGAGCCCAAGCAGTTGCATCTTAAAAACTTAATTCAAGTGCTTAAAGAACAACTGAACAGAGATGAAAATTAATTGGGTACAAACACAACGCAAATTAATATTTAACTTTAAATCACATATAACTTTAATTCAACTGGTTTCGGGTTAATATATTTCCACAACAGTCAAATAAATATACTATAGTTATCCAGTTAAACTCTTCCAGCTTTTCTCAGTCTTCCCATTTAGTTTTTAATTTTTTGGATATTTGCAATATTGTGGTTTTATTTGGTATTCCTATACTAAATAACAGTCTTATCAATGATTAACTTCTGCACACAAAATCTGAAGCTACACCATGAATTCTAATTAGTATCACAACTAAAAATCAATTGAATTGCCTTTTTGATTTTAAGAGATGTAGAATCTTGAATTAAAACCTATTTGAGGTACATTTTAAAAATGTTAGCAAGTATAAGTATTTTCAGTTTGGCAAATTGTATCCTGGTTTTGACAGCTCTACACCTTATTCCTTTTTTTTTCAATTCAAACATGTTGAGCCCATAAAAACATACATACCAACTGCAAGAAGTACCAACAAATAATTTAAACATCTTTTTATTGCATCAAACATTGTCAAATTTATGTCTTTCAAATAAAAGAAATAATGTCATAAATTGTAAAGCGTTATAAGATTGGATTGCTTGGTAATTAACATTTTTAAAATATTGTGTATGAAATTGCTGCTCATATGTAAACAATACTTTACATATCAAGTTGTTGTGTCACATCAATCCAGTATTCCAAGTAATCAGGGATCTTCAAAGTCAATTTTTTTTCCTTTTCAGTTTCCATCACCTGATCCTGATTGGCCGGCCTTAAATGTGAACCCTGTCTTGTATTGGCGATCACCAAAAAGAACATGTTCTGCCCTCAGATGGAGATGCCAGAATACAGTTTCCGATATAAATGGCTACTCAAGCTGTGCTTAATTAAAACAATTAACAGTTCTGATTTGGTTGTTAAATATTTCATTAGAATTAAGAACAGTGAAATCAGTGTTTTGAAGCGCATCTTCAATACATAAGTCTACAGCTGTGACACTGTGAAATCAGAGAGCTCCCCCTGCAGGACAGACTTGTATGGTATGAACCAGCATCCAAGAACAGGGGCTGAAGAGCGTCGATAGTCAGTAGCAGTGCTCCTACAACACAGAACACTTTTAGCTTAAAACATCAGTAATCAATTATCTAGATTAACTATTATGTCCTAATTTATTGTATTTACCAGGTCGCTTTCACATCTTCATCTTTGATTTTGATCACTGATCCTGATAATTCCTCATATTCAAGATTGTTTTTTCCTTGAAAACAAGACACATGGAGATTCTGTATGAGTTGCAGCTGGTTTAAGTCTTTGTGATGATCTCATCTGACTTTCTCCTTTCTCTACTGATTCTCACAGGACTTTCACTAGTAAAATCAATGAGATTTTACAAAAACCAATGTATAGTACAGGTTAGTGAAGAGGGCAAAGAGCTGTAGTTTTACTTATTTATTCAAGCGATTATTTATAGTAAGTCTTAGAGATGCTCTAAATCAGGGGAACTCAGTCCTGGTCCTGGAGATCTACCACCCTGGAGAGCTCAGATCCAACCCACCTGGCTCTAATATTCAGATGCTCCTGAAGGCCTTCAGTACCTGGATCAGGTGTGTTTGATTGGGTGTGGAGCTAAATTCTGCAGGGTGGTAGATCTCCAGGTCCAGAACTGAGCGCCTCTGCTCTGTATATTTGTCTTTAATTTACTAAAATCTTTACTAAATTTACTAAAATCTTTAAAAAAAAATGTTTCCTTCTTTCCTCCTACCAAAAATTCCTTTTATGCTAACGTGGTTTGGTTGCTGCTGAACTGCAGGCCACAGAAACATTTCTCCATCTTTCTTATGACGAAAAAACACGACACGCACGGTTCCCATGGTGACGTCCACTTCATCATTCCTCAGAATCAGAGACACACTATGGGGACAGAATCAACAATGACAGTGGCAAAAAAAAATGGTCAACATGATGGTGTGATGCTGATTGAAATACATAGGAATTCCCATTAATGGGTTAATAAATATTAATGTTATAGTCATGGTGGAAATCTGACGAATAAATGTTACTGGTAAAGAAAATTAAAGACGGCTGTTTTTACAGTGGATGTGAAAGACTGGCCCCTTCATTGTTTTATGACTACATTTGACAGTGTGTTAACACATGGAAGTTAATTGTCTCTAAAACAATCAAAACCAGTTTAAACATCTTGCCATACGTCTGTATTGGCCTGGAGCCTTGAACAGCCTATACTTATTTCCATTTCAACACTGGTTTCATACCTGTCAGTCTCGTGCTTGCTGGGCTCCTGTCCCCACAAAAACATCACATTATTCAGGCCATCATGATAAAGGATATGAGATGTATTGAGCATTAAGGAATAATCCGTTTTGTAATGAAGAGCAATTTGTTTGAAGCCTTTTGTTGAGAGTTCACCATTCATTGAGAAATCTGTGGAGGGGGGAACACAGCAGATGGAACAGTAACATAAATCACTCTCATTATTACACAGTTCTTAAATGGTAATAAACGAAAACATCAAAACTGCCTGAACAAGGTGAGTCAGCAGAGGACCAGACACGAAACACCTCACCTGAGGAGGGGTCCATCAGGAGGCGGAGTTTGGAAGCGGCAGGGAGGTCATAACATATTGGCTTAGGCTGATCACGAGAAGAGATCAAGAACCTC